AAGAGTGTCCACCCCAGGTAACTGGGGAGGCTGAGCTACTGGGCCCTACAGGACACCTGGCGCGCAGGGCCACTCTATCAACACAGGGAAGCTGCCAAAATGCGGAGACAAAGAAACAGGTCACAAATGGCAGAAATGGAGGAAAGCAAACGATTGGATATAGAGTTCAAGGCCACGTTTATAAGGTTTTTCAAGAATTTTATGGAAACCGCCGATAAATTTAACGAATCCCTCAATAACTATAGTGAGACCATGGAGGACATGAAAAAGGACCAACTAGAAATTAAGCATACACTGACTGAAATAAAGAATAATTTACAGAGATCCAGCAGCAGACAAGAGGATCCCAAGAATCAAGTCAAAGATTTGAAATACAAAGAAACAAAAAATACCCAACCGAAAAAGAAAAAAGAAAAGAGATTCCAAAAATATGAAGACAGTGTAAGGAACCTCTGGGACAACTTCAAGCGTACCAACATCAGAATTATAGGGGTACCAGAAGGAGAGAGAGGGCAAGATATTGAAAACCTTTTTGAAGAAATAATGACAGAAAACTTCCCCTACCTGGTGAAAGAAATGGACTTACAAGTCCAGGAAGCGCAGAGAACTCCAAACAAAAGGAATCCAAAGAGGACCACACCAAGACACATCATAATTAAAATGCCAAGAGCAAAAGATAAAGAGAGAATCTTAAAAGCAGCAAGAGAAAGACAGTCAGTTACCTACAAGGGAGTACCCATACGACTGTCAGCTGATTTCTCAACAGAAACCATGCAGGCCAGAAGAGAGTGGCAAGAAATATTCAAAGTGATGAATAGCAAGAACCTGCAACCAAGATTACTTTATCCAGCAAAGCTATCATTCAGAATAGAAGGTCAGATAAAGAGCTTCACGGATAAGAAAAAGCTAAAGGAGTTCATCACCACCAAACCAGCATTATATGAAATGCTGAAAGGTATTCTTTAAGAAGAGGAAGAAGAAAAAGGAACTCTTACCATTTGCCACAGCATGGGTGGAACTGGAGAGCGGATAAATACCACATGATCTCACTCATTTGTGGAATATAATGAACAACATAAGCTGATGAACAAGGACTGATCCAGAGACGGAGAGGCATTGATTGGACTGTCGGGACTTGGAGGGAAGGTAGGGGAGGGTGGGGGTAAGGGGGAAAGATCAACCAAAGGACTTATATGCAAGCATATAGGCCTAATCAATGGACATGGACAACGGGGGGGTGAGGGCATGAGCGGGGGGGGGGGGGGGTAGAGGGTAACGTGGGGACAAGGACACATATGTAATATCTTAATCAATAAAAAATATATTAAAAAAAAAGTGTAAAATAAAAAAAATAATAAAAAAAAGAAATATAGCATGAGCCACATATGTAATTTAAAAAATTCTAGTAACCATGTTAAAACGAAAGAGATAAAATTAATTTTAATGAAACCAATATATTTTAACATGTTATCAATATAGGATGTAGTATTGGTGTGATATATTTTTTTTTTAAAATATATTTTATTGATTTTTTACAGAGAGGAAGGGAGAGAGATAGTTAGAAACATCCATGAGAGAGAAACATCGATCAGCCGCCTCCTGCACATCTCCTACTGGGTATGTGCCCGCAACCCAGGTATATGCCCTTGACCAGAATCGAACCTGGGACCTTTCAGTCCGAAGGCCGAGGCTCTATCCACTGAGCCAAACCGGTTTTGGCTGGTGTGATATTTTACTGTGCTTTTTGTTTGTATTGTCTTCAAAATCTGGTGTATTTTACAGTGATAGCACATCTTAATTTGGAGTAGGAAGATTTTAAGTGCTCAAGAGCCACATGTGACTAGAGCCTACCCTATCCTATAGTGCAGGTACAGATACAGTATTCCCCCTTATCTACTGGCAATGCAGTCCAAGAGCCCTAGGGGATGCCTGAAACGGGGCGGGGGGGGGGGGGAATAGTTTCCTATACAGAGCTTTTCCCTATACACACATACCAATGATAAAATCTAACATAAATTAGATCCAGTAAGAAATTAAGAATAACTAATGCTATCTAATAAAGAGGGAATATGCTAATTGACCCTCACATCATTGCAAAGATGGCAGCGCCTACAACCAATAAGGAGGGAATATGCTAATTGACTGCACCCCCCTCAAAGATGGCAGCTCCCACAGCCACAAGATGGCCGGCAGGGGAGGGCAGTTGTGGGCGATCAGGCCAGCAGAGGAGGGCAGTTAGGGGTGACCAGGCCTGCAGGGGAGGGCAGTTGTGGGCGATCAGGCCAGCAGGGGAGGGGAGTTGGAGGCAACTGGGCCGGCAGGGTAGGGCAGTTGGGGGTGATCAGGCCAGCAAGGGAGCAGTTTGGCATTGATCAGGCTGGCAGGGGAGTGATTAGGGGGTGATCAGGCTGGTAGGCAGAAACAGTGAGGAGCAATCAGGCAGGCAGGCAGGCAAGTGGCTGGGAGCCAGCAGTCCCAGTTGTGAGAAGGATCCCAAATTGGAGAGGGTGCAGTCTGGGCTGAGGAACACCCCCCACCCCCACAGTGCACGAATTTTGTGCACCGAGCCTCTAGTAATAAAATAGAACAATTATAACAATACACTGTGATCAGAGTTATGTGAAGGTAGTCACTCTCTGATAACTGACCTGGTAACTGAGATGGCTACTAAGTGATTAACAGGAAGGGACTGTACACAGCATGGAAAGGCTGGACAAAGAGATGAACATGTCTCTAGTGGGATGGAGCAGGACGCCTCAAAATTTTATCATGCGACTCAGAATGGTGTGCAATTTAAAATTTATGAACTGGTTTTTTTCTGGAATTTCCCATTTAATAGTTTCAGATTTTGCTAACTAAAACTGTGGAAGGGGAACTGCAAATGAGGGGGGGAAGGCTACTATATTATCCGCAGTCTAGAACTTCACAGATCCCTAAGGTAGATGTAAGCCGCTCTTCCCAAGAGCTTCAAGAGCTAAGAGGAAAAAGCTGCATGAGACCTCGATTCCAAATCCTTCACATCCAACCCAGCAAGTCCGTTCAAGAAGCCAGCTGTATCGGGGTCTCAAAATGCAAGGGTGCATCACAATGACTGCATCACAATGACTGAGTTCGTGGTGGAACTTAATGAGACTCGCTTGAGTCCAAACCTGGGAATGGGCTAGGTCAGTGGTCGGCAAACTCATTAGTCAACAGAGCCAAATATCAACAGCACAACGATTGAAATTTCTTTTGAGAGCCAAATTTTTTAAACTTAAACTATATAGGTAGGTACACTGTTATTAACTTAATTAGGGTACTCCTAAGGCTTAGGAAGAGCCTCACTCAAGGGGCCAAAGAGCCGCATGTGGCTCGTGAGCCGCAGTTTGCCGACCATGGGGCTAGGACGGTTCTGGTGTGGAGTCCATACCCTGAAAGCCATTTTATTGAGTACTGTCAGTACCTACTGCTGCAGGGCTGATAGATGTTAAGAGGCAGAACCTGTCTGATCACGTGAATTCCCTGGGCAGTATTAACAGATTCCAAGCCCCACCCCAGGTTACTTTAAACAATTCCTCAGGGTGAGTCTTTCATGATCAGGTAGGTTTGGGAAACACTAGTTCTCAAACTTTGCTGCACAGCAGAATTACCTAGGGAACTGGTCTTACTCTAGAGCAATGGAATCAGAAAGTCTGGGGATGGTAGCCAGCAATTCGTATTTTTTTAAAGATTCCCAGATGGCTGTTTGTGTAGTTTGGGAACTGCTGCATTAGGGCTTTTAAGTAAAGAAATGACAAAGCAGATAACATCTGTTAGCTCAGCAGCTATGCAACCATAACATCCCAGGTGGCCCTTGAAAGCAGGCCCAGTTGGTAAATTAATTCCCGCCTTCTCTCTCCAGTTTTATTAGATTGTAAGGGGGTGCATTCAATTAAAATTAAACACTTTGTGAGGAATGATGGTGGTTGGGTATATCTATGCAAAGAGGGCAGCATGGGGAGTGATTAGACTAAGGCAGGCAGGTACCTATACCAAACATCCCATGACGAAGGAAGCAAACTGGAAGTGTGACCTCTACTATCTTGGATTACCACGTGGTGTTAAAGTACAGGACCGGAAACCACAGACCCAAAAGGAACTAAGTGTAATCCCAAACCACGGTTTCTGTTAGCAGATCATCAGAATGGGAAGTGGCAAAGATTGAGAAATTTAGGCAACGCGCTCCCCCTCCTTCCTGGAGCCAAAGGACACCACGGAGCCAGTCAGAATGACAGGAAGCAGGAAAGGCGAGGATGAAGCTCTAGCCAAGATTTGTCCCTAAAACACAACATCCAAGCAATTTTCTGCCTCAGGGTCTGGCACGGCGCCCATCCCCCGGTGGCTGGGGTCCCCGGAGGGGTGTGTCACCGGCCTCGGGTCGCTGCCTTCCGGACCCCACCTGGAGGGCGCCCGCGGGGCTCACCCGATGACCTAGGCCAGGATGAGCAGGTGCACAGCGGGGACCCGGAGGGGTCAGCCCCGGGTCCCAGGACCCCACGGGGTCGCCGCCCCAGCCGCGCTCACCCGATGACGTAGGCCAGGATGAACAGCTGCACCGCCCGGTTCATGAGCCCCACTTTACGGCTGCGGATGAGCACGATGCGCGGCGTGTCGTACTCGAACAGGAAGGCCCCCAGCACGGAGCAGCAGCCCGCCATGGCCGCCCGACCCGCCGCAGGGCTGCGCACTGTGGCCCCGCTGCCTGCCCTGCGGGTCGCCTCCGGGCCCGGAGCCCCGCCCCGTCCCGCCTGGAGCCCCGCCCCTCACGCCAGGAGCCCCGCCCCCTCCAGCCTGGAGCCCCCCCCTCCCCGCCTGGAGCCCCGCCCCCTCCCGCCAGGAGACTCGCTCCCTCCCTCCTGGAGCCCCGCCCCCTCCCGCCAGGAGCCCCGCCCCCTCCAGCCTGGAGCCCCCCCTCCCCGCCTGGAGCCCCGCCCCTCCCGCCAGGAGACTCGCTCCCTCCCTCCTGGAGCCCCGCCCCTCCCCGCCTGGAGTCTCGCCCGGAGCCTCGTTCCGCGGCGACGTCACGCGGAGGAGGGCTCGGAAGGAGGCGGTGCGCGCCTGTGGGGGACCCGCCAGGCGGTAGGTGGGACCTCCCCCTCGGATACGGGAGACGCCTCTGGAGGCTGGGGAGTCGGGGGGACAGACACACTCTCGAGAGGACCGCGGAGGACGAGCGACCCGCGCCTTCAGGGGGACGGAGGGAGGGGGTTGAGTGACCCCTCAGGAGGGCTGAGGAGAAGGAGTGGCCCGCTTAGGTCGAGTGAGGAGGGGTAATGAGCAACCCCCTGAGGGGGTCTAGGGTCTCCGAGCGGCCTGGGGGCGGGGCCCGCGGGGACAGTGTAGGTGGGGGGCCGTGCTGCCTCTCAGCCTCTGGGGGCGGGGCGGGGGGTGACCTAAACGCCAGGCCAGGTGCCCTGGGAGCCCTGAGCTGGAGCCGCACACCCTGTACAGTGCCCCTCCTGGAAGCCAGGCACACCCTGAGCCGGTTCAGATGCTCCCTTAGTTGCAGGACGGGGGAGGAGGCAGCCTGAGCCAGGTGAGAAAAATGGTCAAAAGATTTGAGTAGACACTTCTTCAAAGAAGGTACACAAATGCTCAATAAGGGTGTGTAACACATTCAATATCTCTAGTCACTAGGGAAATGCAGATCAAAATCACAATGACATACCTCACCCCACTGGCTTAGCTATAACTCAAAACAGGCAATTAAAAAGATGGCGAGGGTCCCCGGGCGGCCTGCATGGCTCAGTGGTTGAGCCTCGACCTATCAACCAAGAGGTCACGGTTCGATTCCTGGTCAGGGCACATGCCCAAGTTGCAGGCTCAATCCCCACTGTAGGGCTTGCAGGAGGCAGCCGATCAATGATTCTTTCATCATTGATGTTTCTATCTCTCTCTCCCTTCCTCTCTGAAATCAATAAAAATACATATTTTTTTAAAAATGGCAAGGTTGTGGAGAAATTGGAAGCCTCACATTGCTGGTGGGAAAGTAAAATGGTGCAGCCATTTTGGAAAATAGTTTGACACTTTTTCAAAGTGTTAAACAGAATTACCATATGACCAAGCAATTTCACTCACACACACACACACACACACACACACACACACACACACACACCTAGGTGTATATATATCCAAGAGAATTGAAAAGATATGTTCATGCAAAAACTTGTACATGAATGTTACATGGCAGCATTATTTCTAATAGCTAGCAAGTGGAAGTAACCTAAACTCCTGTCTACTGATGAATGGATAAGTAAAATGTGGTATAGCCATACAATGAAATATGTTTTAGCCATAAAAATATATGCTAATATATGCTAAAAAATATATGCAGCTATATGCTACATAAAAATATATGTATCATGTGTTGATACATGCTACAACACATGAACCCTGAAAACATTATGCTGAGTGAAAGAAGCAAGACACAAAAGGTCACTTTTTAAAAAATGTATTTTATTGATTTTTTACAGAGAGGAAGGGAGAGGGACAGAGAGCTAGAAACATCAATCAGCTGCCTCCTGCACACCCTCCACTGGGCATGTGCCCACAACCAAGGTACATGCCCCTGACCAGAATCGAACCTGGGACCCTTCAGTCCACAGGCTGATGCTCCATCCACTGAGCCAAACTGGCCAGGGCAACTTTTTTAATTTTTATTGATTTCAGAGAGGAAGGAAGAAGGAGAGAGAGATAGAAACATCAGTGATGATAGAGAATAATTGATTGGCTGCCTCCTGCACACTGGGGATCGAGCCTGCAACCTGGGTACATGAGCTGACTGGGAATCAAACATGATCTCCTGGTCCATAGGTCGTCGCTCAACCACTGAACCACACCAACAGGTCACATCCGATATAATAAAAGCCTAATAAGCTAAGTGTCCAGTCATCTGGTCATCCGGTCAACCAATCAATGTGTAATATGCTAATGATATGCTAAGGCTGCTCAACTGCTTGCTATGACATACACTGACCACCAGGGGGCAGATGCTCCAACTAGTAAGTTAGCTTGCTGCTGGAATCCTGCCAATCAGGATGAGCCAGACACACCCTGGAGCCCTTCTGTAGTCCCTCCCCAGCTGGCCAACCTCCCGAATCCCTCCCTGGCCCCAGTTGTGCACCAGTGGGGACCCTCTGCCTGGCCCCTTTCGCAATCTGGGACCCCTTGGGGGATGTCGGAGATCCCGCCAGCCAGGCTGAGGGACCTCACTGGTGCATGAATTCACGCACCGGGCCTCTAGTATTGTATAAATTCTGTTTATTTGAAACATCCAAAATAGGCAAATCCACAGAGACAGAAAGCAGATTAGTGGTTTCCAGGAAAGGAGGTATTGGCACTGATAGCTAATATGTATGAGGCGTCCATTTGGGGTGATTAAAATGTTCTGGAAAATTTAGATGCAGAACTCTTGTAAATACACTAAAAGCCACTGAATTGTACACTTTAAAAGGGCAGATTTTGAAAAATAGGAGAACCAAGATGGCGGCATAGGTTAACGCCGGAGTTTGCTGCCTTGAACAACTACTTCAAAAGTGAAACTAAAAAACGGAACGGCCATCACCCAGAACCACAGGAACGCTGGCTGAGTGGAAGTCCTACAACTAGGAGGAAAGAGAAACGCATACGGACACTCAGAGGAGGCGCAGTGCTGAAGTCAAATTCTGAGGTGCGGAGTGCACGGAGCGGGCTGGCGGCGGAGGGCGCGGTTGGCGTTTTCAATCGGGAGGGAGTCGCAGACTCTGAGCTCCAGATACAGGCGTGTCTTTAGGGACCCAGACTCAAACGGGAGAAGCGGGACTGTCTGGCTTCGGTCAGAGCGAGTGCAGCTTTCTCTCCGAGGTTTGCAGCGGGTGCTGGGACTCAGAGAGGCAGAGCCCCTGGGGACAGGACTGAGAGCCGCCATAACTGCTCTCTCCGGCCCACCTGTTGATCCTGTGCGACCCGCCCCGCCCAAGCCCTGCACAGAGGCATTTGCCGGATAGCCTCAGGCAAAGGCTAGATTAGCACCTCCCTAGAGGACAGAAGTTCTCTCACTGCAGACACAGCTGATTCTCATAGCCACTTGGCCTGGAGGTCAAACCCTCCCTGGTATTAGCTACATCAATCAAGGTTTAACTATAAGACTGCGCACAAAGACCACTAGGGGGTGCACCAAGGAAGCATAACAAAATGCGGAGACAAAGAAACAGGACAAAATTGTCAATGGAAGATATAGAGTTCAGAACCACACTTTTAAGGTCTCTCAAGAACTGTTTAGAAGCTGCCGATAAACTTAATGAGATCTACAAGAAAACTAATGAGACCCTCGATATTATATTGGGGAACCAACTAGAAATTAAGCATACACGGACTGAAATAACGAATATTATACAGACTCCCGACAGCAGACCAGAGGAGCGCAAGAATCAAGTCAATGATCTGAAATGCGAGGAAGCAAAAAACACCCAACCGGAAAAGCAAAATGAAAAAAGAATCCAAAAATGCGAGGATAGTGTAAGGAGCCTCTGGGACAGCTTCAAGCGTACCAACATCAGAATTATAGGGGTGCCAGAAGATGAGAGAGAGCAAGATATTGAAAACCTATTTGAAGAAATAATGACAGAAAACTTCCCCCACCTGGTGAAAGAAATGGACTTACAGGTCCAAGAAGCGAGGAGAACCCCAAACAAAAGGAATCCAAAGAGGACCACACCAAGACACATCATAATTAAAATGCCAAGAGCAAAAGATAAAGAGAGAATCTTAAAAACAGCAAGAGAAAGAAACTCAGTTACCTACAAGGGAATACCCATACGACTGTCAGCTGATTTCTCAACAGAAACTTTGCAGGCCAGAAGGGAGTGGCAAGAAATATTCAAAGTGATGAATGCCAAGAACCTACAACCAAGATTACTTTATCCAGCAAAGCTATCATTCAGAATTGAAGGTCAGATAAAGAGCTTCACAGATAAGGAAAAGCTAAAGGAGTTCATCACCACCAAACCAGGATTATATGAAATGCTGAAAGGTATCCTTTAAGAAGAGGAAGAGGAAGAAAAAGGTAAAGATACAAATTATGAACAACAAATATGCATCTATCAACAAGTGAATCTAAGAATCAAGTGAATAAATAATCTGATGAACAGAATGAACTGGTGATTATAATAGAATCAGGGACATAGAAAGGGAATGGACTGACCATTCTTGGGGGGGAAAGGGGTGTGGGAGATGCGGGAAGAGACTGGACAAAAATCGTGCACCTATGGATGAGGACAGTGGGTGGGGAGTGAGGGCGGAGGGTGGGGCGGGAACTGGGAGGAGGGGAGTTATTGGGGGGGAAAAAAGAGGAACAAATGTAATAATCTGAACAATAAAGATTTAATTTAAAAAAAAATAAATAAAAGGGCAGATTTTATGTTATGTGAGTTATATATCAAATTTTAAAAAGAAACAGAGTAGACAACCAGGTTCTCAGGGGGAAAAAAGAAGTATATACCACAAAATAATGAGCCAAACCTCGTGTTCTTCATAGGGGAAAACCTCAGGCCCTCACACAGAGTATTTTTATCTTAGATAAAGTCCTAAGTCTGGCTTATCTGGTGTCCTTGGTTGCATGTGAAGCCAGTTCACTCATGACAGTATTCACTAAAAACTGCCCTTCCTCACAGAGATGGCCCCTGCACCCATTTTTATGCTGTGACCTTATCAATTGAACCACAAGGGTAACCTGACCCAAACAGAGTCAATTTGATGGTCTCCTTTGGAAGGGTTGCAGTGGGAGAGAGGAGGCGCTTTGTTCTCTGCAAGTGACTAAAACTGAATTGAGTAACCTCGGGAGTTGTGGCAGAGTCATATATTTTATTTTATTATTTTATTTTTTAAAATATTTTTATTGAGTTTATTTATTTCAGACAGGAAGGGAGAGGGAGAGAGAGAGAAACATCAATGATGAGAGAGAATCATTGATCGGCTGCCTCTTTAAGCCCCACACTGGGAATCAAGCCCACCAGGAATCGAACTGTGACCTCCAGGTTCACAGGTCAACGCTCAACCGCTGAGCCACACCGGCTGGGCAGAGTCATCTATTTTTTAAAAATACTGATTTTAAAGAGAGAGGAAAGGAGAGAGGTACATCAGTTTCTTATTTCACTTATTTATGCATTCATTGGTTGATTCTTGTATGTGCCCTGACCAGGAATTAAACCCAGAACCTTGGTGTATCAGGACAGTGCTCCAACCAGCTGAGCTACCTGGCCAAGGCCATGGCAGAGTCGTCTTGGTGGAGAAGCCAAGGAGGGGAGCCTGCAGGATCAAAGATTGACGCAGATGGGGAAAGGAACACTGAGGTGAGAGTAAGAAAATGGCCTCTTTGGTTTTTGTTGAGTTTCTATTTCCTGGTTCTGCCCACTTTGTTCACCTTTGCCCTTAAGATACCCCATGATCTTGTAATATATGTACTTTTTTTTTTTTTTTTTTTGAGCTGGTACGCTTCTGAAAGTTGGAATTGAAAATACTTTGGTTATGGTGTTAGGTTCCAAGAGATGAAAGATATACTGTCACCATTAATGTGGGTGTTAACTGTTTGTATGAAGGCAGCAAATTAGAAAGAGGTGGGAGGCACTCTGCCTGAGGACACCAGTATTAAGAACAGCAATAATAGCCCATCAAGAGAAATAAGTCCCTATAAAAAGCAGAGCCGAGAACTCCAAAAAGCTCTTCAGTCTGTGACCATTTAGTTGAGAGGCCAGCAGTGGCCAACATCGGTGTGCCTTAGGGTGTCATTTGGTTATACCATGGTAAAGATGATGTTTGTCACAATGGCCTTGAGCCACAAAAGGCCAGTCAGATGAAGCAATATTCTTTGATGAAATGAAAAAATTGTTTACATTAAATGTTCAGGCATTGAAAGATGTAAGATTCACTTACCTGGCACAGATCTTGTGAAATACGTCATTGTATAAATAACAGATTCATGTGGACCAAATGTACAATTACATATACCTCTAGAAATAGCTCATTTTCTAAATGAAAAACAGGTTGGTTGCAAAAGTGAATAATGATAAATTATTTTCTAATTTTGTTTTTGCTTTCCCCATGGAATCCTTGAGGCTGAAGCTGTTATAGAACAGAAAAAAAACTGACTCTAATCTAAAAGGCTATATGCTGATCACAGATAATCCTCTGTGCTATCTGCTGCATCAGTGGGTCTCAAACCTGTCAGACCCAATGTCCCTTTTAAGATAAATATTTTCTAATATCCCTTTAGTAGCCCCGAAAGAAATTAACATGGAATATAATCTACCTGCACTCAATTAAATATGCATATATGTAAATGTACAGTGGGGCCTTGACTTCGAGTGTCCCGACTAATGAGTTTTTTGAGATACCAGCTGTCTCTCGGCCGATTTTTTGCTCTGAGTTGACAGAGTAATTTGAGGTAACGAGCTCCTTAACGAGCTCGGTCTCGGAACGAATTAAACTCATAAGTCAAGGCCCCACTGTACAGAAGTTGAAGAGATCCAAAGTCTTTACCATGGTTATGTATCTAAGACGAAGGGAGATGTAAGGAATGGCTGGCAGCATCACTATCAACAGTATCCTGTTCTGAGCCGCCAAAAAATATCTGTCAGGTTCCAAAACACTTTCATTACCCCAGAAGGAAACCCCACATCATTATGTAGTCACTCCTCATTTCCCCTCCTCTTCAAGCCTTTGGCAACCACCAAATCTGTTCTCTATTTATATGAATTCGCCTAGGCTAGGTACTCTGTATAAATGGAATCATACATTTGATCTTTTGTGCCTGGCTTCTTTCATTTAGCATGTTTTCAATGGTCGTTTACGGTGTAGCATGTGTCAGTGCTTCATTCCTTTTTATGGCCAAATAATTATTCCACTCTATGGATATTCTTCATTTTGTTTATCCATTCATCTGTTGATGAACACTTGGGTTGTTTCCATCTTTTGGCTGTTGTCAGTAATGCTGCTATGAACATTTGTGTATGGATAGCCATTTGAATCTCTGCTTTCAGTTCTTTTGGGTATATGCCTAGAAGTGAAATAGTTGGATCCTATGGAAATTCTGTGTCAGGAAGTGGGGGCACAGACCAAATATATATCTTATGTCACAGTGCCTTAATGAATATATATATATACATATATATATGTACATGTGTACATATATATATGTATCAAATGAATATGTCAGTGAACGAGCTAACTGTAATTGGTGATATTCTAAGAAAAGGAAGGAAAAGAAACACTTCAATAATCATGAATTATACATTATTTTTTATTATCAAAACAGTCAGGTTATGACAGCTACATTGCCAAACTAGAATTAGGAAGTGTTTTAAAAAATGGTTTCCTCTAAGGAGATGAATGCAAGTTCATTACCTATTATGCATGAAATCAGTGTTACAAGGAAGCACATCTCTGATATAGAGATGAATCAGTGAGTATTGTACAGTTATCATTAACAGAAGAATGGATTGAAGTACAGGAAGACAGGTCCTACAAAATGTGATTCTCCTTGGTGTGCCTTTGGTGATGACATTATTTTATGTAGGAGACTAAAAATAAAAATTCAAACATGATGCATGTCTTTGTAGGAAGTGTCAGACATTTTACACACTGTTGACGTCACACAACACCCTCTCACTTAAAGCATATGTGGGGAAAGGGAAGGAGAACAGTACGTGGATCCAGTGATTATCTGTCACCCCAAATTCTGCCTCCATCTGGGGCCTCCACAAGGTGACAGAAACTCATCAGAAATCAGGCACCAAAAAATAAAGGCATAAAGACTCAGAGGCCATCAGAATGGAAATCTGTAGCTGTTAATAGAATTCTGGAGAAAGAATCTCCATTCTGAAGAAGTCATACATATAATCTACTTTTTAAAAATATACTGGAAAGGTTGCAAAAATGACAGTGCAATCTGGCCTAATGAGCTTGATTCCTGAGTTGAAAGCCAGATAAAATCCTGGATCACAAAAGAAAGCTGCTGTTTTTTTAAAAGTATCAAAAATGGTAAATCTTAGAGTATGTATAAAAAACCTGACAGGTCCTTCATCAGTCACAGTGTTGAATAGTGGTCTCTATTTATTCTTCACAATAGTTGTTTAGAAATAGTTGATTCTAGCGCCAAAACCATGAAAAGGAAATCTTGCAGGAGGATCCTAGAACCTGGGACTGTCCATTTGCATATTTTTAGAGGCTGATGTATGGGGATGGTAAAGGTTTGGGTATAGGTTGCTTTTTGAGTAGCATCCAGACTGCATCTACTTTAATTGGCTGCAAAGCGCAGGACATTAAAAGCTTAAAGGCGGCCTTTTCCAGTTCTTAACAGCAGTGGTTATTTCCAGTTGTAGAAATGTAATGCAATTGAAATGTATTGGGCAGCGTGGCAGTTAAATTGGATGGATTCCAGGGCTGGGCTGGTGAGTTACCTGATTCCATCTGCAGCCCTCCCAGAACTGCTGAATGGGAACCTAGGCACCTAAGGAGCTCCAGAGGTGGTCCAGGCTCCCTGAGACCTTTAGGACCAGGGAAGGTATGGGCTGAGTCTATGTCCCCAAGAGTCCAGCTTGCTCTCTTGTCCCAGTTATCTGTTGCTGTAGAACAAAGAACCCAAAACTTGCTTAAAACAATTTTGTTCTGTGCATTCATGGGTCAGCTCTCACTTGGGTTGTCTCATGCAGTTGCAGACGTGTTAGCAGGCTCTGGAAGGGTCTAAAGTCTTCTCTCCCATGCCTAGTGACTGGGCTTGTATGATTTGAAAGCTGGGACTGGTCAGTCATCTCTCCTCTCCACATGGTTGCTTGGGCTTCCTCACAGCAGGGCTGTCTCAGGATAGTCAGACTTTTACCTGAGGTCTGGCTTCCTGCACAGCAAGTGTCAAGGGACAGGGAGTGGAAGTTGCCAGCCTCTTAAGACCAAGACCTTGAAACTGACCCAGCATCACTTCCACTATTGGATAAGCAATCAGAGCTGCGCAGATGCAAGGGGAGACCTAACCTTCAAGTCCTAAGAGACAAAGGCCAAGGAATTTGTAGCCACTTTGAATCCTTCACATTCTCCAACCAGGACTCAAGACCCAAAGAGTTTGTTCATAGTTGGACATTATCCTAGTCTGACCTCATAATGAGTTGCTTTGTATTCATAAAGCTCTCTATGCATTAACAAGAAAGCTTGTATACACTGTCTCAATTTTTCCTCCCAATATCTCTGTAAGAGAGTAGGTTGAATCGTAAGGCAATTGAGGTACAGAGGTTAAAGGCCTTAGATCACACAGCTTCCCAGGGGCAAAATTGAGACAGACGTCTGAATCTCTCGACTCTCAGTCCATGTTGAGGGATTCTGGCTGGTTTGTTTGTTTACCCGGGTCTCTCTGCTCTCTGACACATGCAGAGTGGCAGCGGAGGAAATCTGGCCACAGATCTTAGCTGCTGAAGCTCGGGGTGCAAGCAGAAGTAATTTGCCTATGACTGCTCTGTTCCATCAGTAAGGACTCTTGAAGCCACTGTACTGGCCTTCACTCTTGGGAAACTCTTTCCGGATTCTCCAGCGGCAACAGCTGGGCAGGATCGCAAAGTCAGCCAGGTCCTTGGAGCCGAAGCGCCAGGTGGCATAGCACCTGTAGGCGCAGTGCCGCAGCTGGTTGTTGGTGGCATCCGCATCCAGCTTCAGCAAGGGGTCCTGGTAGAGCAGGAGGAACTGCAGGGCACGTCTGGACAGGATGAGCTGCTTGAATGGCTCTGAGGTCGTGATGCAGGCACCTGGCTTTTTCCGACAGCACAGCTCCTCCAGGCATTGGTGACTCGTGGGGAGTTGGGATGGGAGGCAATTTCCGCACTGGCACCAGCTCGGGCTGCTGCTGGATCTGGGTGTTGCCTCCTCGCTAAGTAGCTGGATTTCCTCTGGTTGCCCAGGAATGGGGGGTGGGTCTTGGAGAGACAGGGGCAGCCTGGACAAGTCTGTGAAGTCCATTAAGGGTCTCTGGAAAAGTCAAGTTTCCAAACCTATCAGCAATGACAATCCCTAGTGTTCTAGGTTCTTTAATTTCATTATTAAATCACAAAATTACATGTAATATTACATCAGTACCATGTGTTAAATGTATGTATCAGGACTGTGATAGTCTTTTACGAGCATGGCCTCATTTAAGCCTTCGAAGAATCTCATGAGTTGTGTCCTTATCTCCATTGCACAGATTTAGAAAATGAAATTCAGAATAGCCAGGCCTCAGTGCAATTATCACCTCTCCAAAAACAGCCTGACCACCCAATCTAGATAATGCCCCTCCCAGGTCATTCTCTTTCTAGTATTGCACCATGAGATTCTCCATCCTAGTACTTATTGCCATCTGAAAGGATCTTTTTTTAAAATTTTTTAAAAAATATATTTTATTGATTTTTTTTTACAGAGAGGAAGGGAGAGGAATAGAGAGTTAGAAACATCGATGAGAGAGAAACATCGATCAGCTGCCTCCTGCACACCCCCTACTGGGGATGTGCCCACAACCAAGGTACATGCCCTTGACCGGAATGGAACCTGGGACCCTTGAGTCCACAGGTCGACGCTCTATCCACTGAGCCAAACCGGTTAGGGCTGAAAGGATCTTTTTAATTAATATGGTTACTTGATAATTCTTCTGCATGAAAGTGGGGTCCCTGTCTGTTTTGTTTATTGTCATATCCCCAATGTCTAGGCCAGTACCCAGCACACAGTAGTCAGTAAATATTTGTTGACTGCGCTCCTCTCCTTTCCCACCAGGCTCCCTCTACTGGCAAATCCCTTTATTGTGCTCCAAGAGAAATCATCATAATTGCCATCATTTATTAATGTCTACTCTTTGTGACATATACCTTCATTCACCAAAGTCTGAGTCAAGTACCTTAAAAGTGAGTAAGTTCTCGTACATGAATGTTCACAGCAGCACACCCTGGTTTCAGACATTTTAACCTCCAGAACTTTGAGACAGGCCATTTCTGTCCTTTTTTAAGCTACTTAGTTTGTGGTAATTTATTACAGCAGCCATAGAAAACTAATACATTAGTGAAGATGTCCAACAGCCTGAACTGCTAAGGAGAGAGTGAATTAGAACACCCACTTAGAGAAGTGCCTGGTAGTAACTCCTAAAGCTGAATGTATTCCATATGTTCAGGTGCCATATGTTTACCATAGCAGCATCATTGGCATGAACCCCAAAGGGAAACTACTCAAATTTATCCATCAGCAAGAGAAAGGGTAAATAAACTGGATGTTTATAAAATAGAAATTATACAACAATGAGAATGAACTATTGCTATATGTAATGTCATGGATGACTCTCATAAAAATAATGTTGAGTAAAAGAAGCCAGGCGCTCAATAGAATATATGCTATAGGATTCAAATTTTATAAAATTCTGGAAGAGGTAACCACCTGAAACTAATATAATATTGAATGTCAACTGTAATTGAAAAGTAAAAAAAATATTTTTTAATTCTAGAAGAGGTAAAACTAACCATTGGAATAAGGGTGGGTAGTGATAGGGTAGAGACATCAACAGGACTTCTGCAAGTGATATTCACTTTTTTCATCTGTGTGCTGGTTGCATGTGTTTGTATTTACTTTGTTAAAATTCATCAAGTATGATCTGTACAAATTTCTAGATGTGTTTATATTTAGTAGTATGTTTTCTTGAGAGAGAGAGAGAGAGAGAGAGAGAGAGAGAGAGAGAGAGAGAGAAGACTAAATGTTTTAACTTACTGGGATTTCTTTGCCTTTGACATCTTGCAGACTTCTCCCAAGTAGCTGCTCTTCCACCATCCTAATGTGGAATTCATCCACAAAGGACACATATTTTAATGTCTAGAGAAAGAAAGTTTTAAAAAAATTACTTCTTTTTTCGTATAGAATTACTTAAGAACTGCAAACCTGGACATATCTAAAGCAAATATTATTCCCATTTAGCAAATGGCAAACTTTTAAACAAGTTAACCAAAAACTCTTGCTAACCAAGAATGAATGATTTCTGAGTCTAAAGGTGAATCCAAACTGGAACCCCATACACCTTAATTTGTGGACTTAGAGTGTCCACAACATATTGCCTAATGTTTATAGGCCCCCAAGCACTATGTAAAATTTCTTTGTTATATTTCCTCAATTTAGGCTACTCTAGATTGACTATCTTCAGAAAATTATACTATTGCAACTTAAATTATTTATATTTCCATTAAGTTTCATTCCATCTTGGGCCATTAGTGATTATATCTATATCTTATATAATAAAAGCCTGATTTGCAAATTGACTGAATGACAGAATGATGGGTCTCTATAACGTGCACTGACCACCAGGGGGCAGACACTCAACACAGGAGCTGCCCCCAGCCTGCAGTCCAGCCAAGGTGGGTGCCAGTGGAGGCCCCCTGATTGCCCTGCCTGTTGCCCTGTAGAGGGAGGTGACTGGTGGCCGGGGGTGGGGTGGGGAGGGGCGGCAGCGAGTGGGCAGCACCAGGCCGGCCAAGGCGGGTGCCAGTGGGGGTCCCCTGATCGCCCTGACAGTTGCCCCACAGATCAGCCCTCATTGCTGGCCAGGCCTAGGGATTCTACCCGTGCACAAATTTTGTGTACTGGGCCTCTAGTATATTTATAAAATTGATTTCAAAGAGGAAGGGAGAAGGAGAGAGAGAGAAAAAATCAATGATGAAAGAGAACCATCGATTGGATGCCTCCTGCATGCCCCACACTAGGGATCGAGCCTGCAACCCAGGCATATGCCCTGACCAGGAATCGAACCGTCACCTCCTGGTTCATAGGTTGACGCTCAGCCACAGAGCCACGCCAGCTGGGCAATAGTGATTACTTTTAGTTGCAATGATGAATTTTTATTTCAAATTGTATATGCATGTACAGTGGACAGTGAATTGAGCATTCAGCTGCCAGAACAGGACTGGGATGTCCTTGGATGAGGGAAAGACAGAGAAACACTCTGATGTTTTAAAGTTCCAGAGATTTCTTATTGGTTGGGAGGAAATCATGGAGTCAAGTGTAGAGGACCTGCTTAGTAAAGTCCAAATGAAACAATCAAAACAATACAGATGAGCTAAAGTTCCCTTTGACTAGTCCCCCATCCCAGGCTTCTTTCCAGAAGGAATTGTTATCCCTTTTATTTTTTAAAAAAATATATTTTATTGATTTTTTACAGAGAGGAAGGGAGAGGGATAGAGAGTTAGAAATATCGATGAGAGAGAAACATCGATAAGCTGCTTCCTGCACACTCCCTACTGGGGATGTGCCCGCAACCAAGGTACATGCCCTTGATCGGAATCGAATCTGGGACCCTTGAGTCCATAGGCCGACGCTCTATCCACTGAGCCAAACCGGTTAGAGCTCATTATCCCTTTTTGTATGTCCAATGCCTTTTTGTATTTTTATATATAACCCCCCACATATAGAGGTGTGTGTGTATAATACATGTAGAACTATATAAAATATAGAAAAATATATAGAATATATGTGTATGTGTTTGTGCATATCTGTACATGTATAAAATACATAGAATTAGTTTAGTTTAGGTATGTAGTTTTTTAACCTATATCATACCATATGTATCATTCTGTAGTTTGCTTTTTACCTCTCAACAAAATGTATTGGATATTTGAAAGTACCTAAAACATAGTGATTGTGAACATGGGTTCTGGAACTAGCCTGCCTAAGTTGGAATTTCGGCTCTACCACCTATTAGCAATATGACTGGGCAAATTATGTAACCCTCTTATGCCTCAATTTCCTCATCTGTAGAATGGGATAATAGTGTCATCTATCTATGAGGTTGTTGTGCAGACTCAGTGAGTTAATATATATAAAGCACATTGAAGTGCTATATAAGTGTTGGCTATTATTTTTATCTACGTCATTCTTTTAAACGAGCACCCAACATTCGTTGCTATGTATTTAACCTAGTTTCATGCACTGTTCACGGATTGGACATTTGGATAGAAGCACTTTCTTCAGTGACTTGTGCTGCGGTGGACACATACCTGTACACTATACTCCCTGTGTGATCATGTAAGTGTGTCTCTAGGGCACGTGTGGAGAAGTGGAAATGCCAGGCTGTTCAGTATGTCCCATTTAAATGTCATTATACATTGCCAGATTGTTCCCTGAAGTCATTACATGATTGTTTTTGGCTGTACCCATTTAATAAGTCTGATAAAATTGATGTGTCCCGGAATGTAAAAATTTCTTCTCCCTCTCTTTCCTCTCTGTTTTTGTATCCATCCTTCCCTAAGACGAAAGGCTTCATCTGAGAAATGGTGGATTGGGGTGGCGTCCAGAGGCTTGTCCACCCTGGGATCACACCTGTGGTTTTGGCCTTATTTTTGCACATTTCTCAGTGAGCTAATGGACACCCCAGTGTTTTGGCGTCTGTAGACACAGTGAGCCTTACCGACTTTGGCTCCACAATGGACTCGCACTTCTTCTTGTAGTAATACTCATTGACCGCGCAGCATTCACAGCACTTGCAATAGGGATAAACATAGGATTGACAGGATGTATTCGAGTAAGTGTTGATGAGGAAGTCAATGAATACAGTGGCCTGGGAAGAACCCCAACAAATGCCGCGTTAGTGAACCTTCTTTTTGCCAAAGCGTTTTCGTAAAGCATGGGAAAGAGAAAGCCTTACCAAACCAAAGTAGGAGAGGGTGGAGCCGATGTACACGATCAGTGCAATGATGTCAAATTTTCCTCCCTGCGAGCAGAACGGGAAAGGTTACGTGGCTGAAATTCAGTGCCGTGCTCTTTTGCTCTCACATGTCAGTGTTGGTTCCAGCAGAGGCGGGAGTCTGCCTCTGTGATTCTGACAAATGCATCCAAGGTGTTCACGGCTACAGAGACTGCAGGGACTGAGCACAGGACTCTCATTCGTCCTGTTTCTATCTTCCAAGATGTGCTTGAAAACATAAATGTTTTAAACAAAGAAGCGCTGGAACCCACACACTGAGAGGAGAACCACTGAAGGTTGTTTTTTCATACAAGGTGAGGGTTTCAGAAAAGCTTTACCTAAAAGTGGTTTGAATTTGCTTTGGAATCAAAGGGAAGGAATGTCTGCACAAGGTCTTCCCTTAGGTGTCCTTGTGGTTCTTATTTTCCATGGCCTTTCTACTCCCTCAGCTATATCTGATTGATTCTCGTGCTTCTTAGCACCATGCTGCATAAATAATATGCTGCTGGACAAGGTATTGTGGGCATCTGTTGAGTTTTGCATGCCCAGCATCCCCACCTTCCTTCTTCTGGAGACAGCACCCCAGTCTTCCTGTGGAGAACTATCTCTGTCCATCCTCAGTGTAAAGAAGGGACAATTCCATGATGTGCTTGCTGACTGACCTGTGAGCTGGACACTGGCTAGAACAGATTGCTTACCCCAGACCCTTTCCCTTAGAGACTGACCACGGTCTATGTTCATTCTGACATAAATCAGCACCCCTCCCTGCCTCCTGCTAGCTGCTGGTTCCTGGAACGGGCTGTCATCCTGACCTCATCAAGCATGTAAAGTAATTTCCCTGATAGCTGGTAGCATTCATGTGTTAGTACCAGTGACTATTCCTTTTTGCTCTATATAGTTAAGTGGCTCAGAGGGCCATTTTATCTTGCAGCTGCCCAAGATGCTCCTTATATGTAAGTTTCCCTTAATAAACTCTTTTACCAGAATGGAGTGGACTGCCCCTTTCTTCAGTCTTTCTCTACCTCCAGAGGTAGATTTTCAGTCCCAGGGCTTTCCCCTGGGTCTGTGTGTACTAACACTTGCTCCATGTAGCTTTGGGGAAGGGGCTGGCTCAGAGCTGGTCCAACACCAGCCGTTGGGAGTATGGTGTAACCCTAGTCACAGTGATTAGTTGAGGTTGCTAAACTGGTGAGGTATAAGGAGCTGCTTGACAGCACCACACAGAGGTGACAGCAGGAGATGATGTTAAAACAGAGGAGGACAGATGTAAGTTATGGAGGGAGGCAGATTCTTGATGATGATGTTTGACCATCTGGATCCAGCCATGCCCGAAGCTTGTAATGGCTCCTGGACCTTTCATTTATGTGAACTAAAAAAAAAAATTTTTTTTAAAGAAGCCTTTTTTTTCTAAGCCAAATTAAGTTGTTGGATTCTGTACTAACTACTGTACTTTGCAGAGGGATTTTTTTCTCCTTTTTTTAAGCAACAGAAAGCTTTTAAAGTTAAATATTATATATCTTATATATTTTTCTCCCCATCTCCCTCTTGTATTCAACAGATGACTATTCATGGACAGAACCCCAAAGACATTTCTTCCCCCTCTCTTATCCCACATGTGAGATGCACAGTGCCAGCTAATGACTACCATCAAAACATTCATCTCTTGGGGCACTACAGAGATCATTAGAACATGGTCGTAGGAATGCAAATGCCAGTGGCTGGGGCAGATACTTACGCTGCCAAAAACCAGGATGTCAAAACGGACCCCAAAGACTTTTATCAGAGTCCGTTTTTCAACATTGTTTTCCATATAGTACTTGGCATATCTGTAGGAGGAAAAGGATCCACGTTTATAAAGATCTGTCTGAAAGTGCTGGTGTGTTATGAAAAGAAAAACCAAAACAATAGCTGGTCTAGTCTTCCTTATCTATCTTCTAGCTTCGTGATGGTCGGCAAAGGGAACACAATCCTAACCCACGAATCACTCTCTCTGACCACCCAGAACCAAAGCGCTGCTTCCCCACATCACCTCCTCTGCTTCCACTATCACAGAGTGATGAAAAGTCTGCTAATTTTGTTTAAGATGAAAAGGAACAACTTTTAACCAACAACATAGAATAAGCAAAAAGCAGAGATATTAAAACAAAAACACACAAAACCTTAAAGCCATCTGATTATTCCTTAAGAGGGAAAGATAGGTTTTCTAGAACAAAGTGTTGGGGGTGAATCTTAGATACTAATCACTCGGTTGGGGACAGGTACCTCAGCAATCTGTTCTAACCCTATTTTCTTAGATTCTGTAGGTGTCTATTTGGCAGCCGTTATCACAGGGCCAAATGAACAACTGAAGTTGTTTACATCTCTCCTGCAGTCCAGCTTTTACAAGTGCATGAAAATCATGTTGGAAATTCTCCAACCAATCCCGATTTCATATCCCCCGCCACCTTTTTTGACCTAATTCTCACACATTCAGCCAATATTTTTGCTGCCTTACATCACCCAGGGCCAAGTACCAGACAACCAGAGACCACCCCTGGACCCTAGAGACCACATTACTCAGACTAGTCAATTCTAAGCTGTTCCCCAGCCCTGCCTTGCCTTTTCCAGGACAAACACAATAAAGGTCCTAAGCCATGCTTTCCCCTCCCTCCTCCCTCCTGACCAAACCTGGTGCTCCCCCCTGTGGCCGTGTGTGGCATAGCATGCCCCTCCTTTTTGGAAATGTAATAAAATTCTTTCAATGGCATTCACCTATGCTTGTCATCACTTGGTCGTCTTATAAATTAAGACCTACGCGCGCCGTAACCGGTTTGGCTCAGTGGATAGAGCGTCGGCCTGCGGACTGAAGGGTCCCGGGTTCGATTCTGGTCAAGGGCATGTACCTTGGTTGCAGGCACATCCCCAGTAGGAGGTGTGCAGGAGGCAGCTGATCGATGTTTCTCTCTCATCGATGTTTCTGACTCTCTATCTCTCTCCCTTCCTCTCTGTCAAAAATCAATAAAATCTTTAAAAAAAAAAAAAAGAGCTCCCTTCTTTAAAAAAAAAAAAAAAAAAAAAAAAAAAGACCTACGCGCAAATCATAGTCACCCCAAATATGCATCTCTCACCAGTGCCACAGTCAGGAAAAGTGGTGTGTTTTATTTTTCATGAACAATTAGGGAGGCGTAAACCCCAGGCCTCAAGAAACTTTTCAATCTGTCCCTCCCCCTGTCTGCCTTTCAATGGTTGTTTTTAGGTAATGGTATATGCTTCCTTTCTGAGTTATTCATTCACAATCTATTTACAGGTGTGGGTAGAAAAGATAACAGACGACAGATGCTCTGCCAGAATACAGTATAGAACATCTGCAACTGTGGTGGTGTTTTTTTTTAAACTCTCAAAATCTGACATTGAGATTGGTTGGGTATTTTTAGGCACTTTAATGAGTTTCCAGGAAGAGGGGTTTCAGTATCTCTACATCTGATTGTTCTCATTCCCTGGCGGTTCTTTCTTTTTCTGCTCTATCCAGTGGCTTGTGTTCTAATACACAGAGCAAGCATGCATCACCACTCTGTGCCCTGCAGTTGCATGTCTCTCTATGCAAGTCAGTTTGACGGGGAAGGCTAACATCCTACAATATAAATACTTGAATTTCTGCTTTCAAGGTCTTGAGAGAATGATTCTCAAACTGAGGGCAAGAATCACTTGGGAAGTGTGTTCAAAGGCAGATTCCTGGGCCTCATGCCCAAAGGGTGGTTTCAGAAGGTCTGAGATGTTTCTAGGAATCTCTGTTTTCAGGAGAGTACCACCGAGTTCTGGTGCAGGTGGTCAGGGGGCCGCATTCTGGGAAATAGTAGGCCCTGGACAAGGATGTCTTTTTAAAAATATATGTTTTTATTGATTTTAGAGAGAAAGGAAGGGAGAGGAATAGAGAGATAGAAACATCAATTGGCTCCTTCCTGCAGGCCCCCTACTGGGAATTGAACTAGTTAGTGACCTCTTGGTTCATGGGTTGACCCTCAATCACTGAGCCACACTGGCCAGGCACAAGGATGTTTTTTGCACACTGTAATGGGTTGACCAGTCTCCCCCAGAAAGATACATCCAAGTGCCTAACCCCTGTACCTCTGAATGTGATCTTATTTGAAAGTGGAGTCTGCGGATGTAATTAAGGACCTCAAGATGAGATGAGCCTGGATTTAGGGCGGCCTAGATCCAATGACATGATAAAGGAGAGGGAGAGTTGAAACGAACACAGAGGAGAAGGCCAGTACCACGGAGGCAGGTATTGGAGTGATGCAGCCACAGGTCAAGGAATGCCTAGAGCCAGCAGAAGCTGGAAGAGGCAGGGAAGGACCCTCCCCTGGAGACTTCTGAGTGAGTTTGTCTCTCCTAACACCTTGATTTGGGGCTTCTGGCCTCCAGAACTGTGAGAGAATACATTTCCGTTGGTAAAGCCACCACGTTTGTTGTCCTGTGTTACAGCAGGCACAGGAAACTAAAACACACACACACACCCATTCTCAATGAGGGAAGTGTATCCGGTGTTCTGTCTGCCTTAGCTACACATCCTGTACATAAGCTCACCTAGAAGGACTTTTGCCATGGACATCTTTTGGTAAAAGACAAAAATTCTGAAATGTGATCAACCTCTTCAAATTCCTATGTTTTAGAAAGTTGCACATTTTTTCATCTACCAACTATAACCTGGAATTGCCTTCTCTTTTGTGTGGCTGTTTGAAAATAACTTATCCATTACCCATCAGATCTGGACAATTTATTTCAGGCCAGAGATTTCTTCTGGTGCTCATTCCAGACAACAAATTCTCTAACACTTTGTTCTAAAATAATATCAATATTATAACAGTCTCAGTTCTTCAGAAAGCTCAGATCTCTCCAGGAGCTAATGTTTTTAGGCTTAGCTCAGTGACTTGAAGGACATTTGCTAACATCTGGTCGGTACTTTGCCCTGCATGCTTCTGCTGATTGCTAAGGAAACAGCCTGTGAGGGCAGTGGGGGGGACCACGGATTCCATCCTCTCTTCTTGCTAATGGCCACAGGCCTATTCAGTAGAGCAGCAGGGGATGACCAAAACGTTACCTAAGCGTGGAACTGGTTTCAGAGCCCTGGATGAAACCCTGTCTTTTTAAATTTTTGCCATTCTGGTAGGTGTGTAGTTGTAGCTCATTGTGGTTTGAATTTGCATTTCTCTGATGTTTAATGATGTTGGCTTGTTGGAGGTTTTTATTTACTTACACTTTTGTCTTATATATTATACTTATAATAATTCTTATATTCATATCCTATTAGAATATAAGCTTATGAAAGCAACTTTGTCTTTTTTGTTTGCAAATATATGTCCATTAGAGGAACCCATATTTTTTTTCTTCAACATATATTTAATTAATGAAAAATATGAGAAATACCATTATCAATTTTCTATTTAAAATTTTTTAAAAATATATTTTTATTGATTTTTAGAGAGAGAGGAAGGGAAAGGGAAAAGAAAGAGAGAGATAGAAATGATGAGAGAGAATCATCAATCAGCTGCCTCCTGCATGCCTCCCACTGGGCACCGAGCCCACTATATGGGCATGTGCCCTGACCAGGAATCGAACCCAGCAACCTCTTGGTTCATGGGTCGATACTCAATCATTGTGTCACACCAGCTGGGCCCAGCATCAATTTTCTACCAGCTTCATAGGCAAATTGTATAACCATTATTCTAGGGATATACTTGGACACTTTTTCTGAAAAGGGAACAGCATAAGTCTACTTTGTTCCTGGAACTGGGCACAAAATGACTAGCCATAACCACAGTCCCAGACACCTGCCTGGCTCCCACAAGCAATGATAAGTCTTGGAGACTGTGTTGTAAACCTCACACTGAAAGGCCACCATTACTGCTGGGACAGAGTTGTAGGAACAGGCTGAGAAAGTTATCCAGATTTAGGAGGAAACATGGACACCACGTCAGGATGGCACAGGATCACCACTGGGCAAAAGTCAGGAGCAGAGGAGTGAACTGTCAAAGCAAGAACAGATCAGCACCTGCCCGCTGAAAAGTCCAAATGAACCAGGATTCTAGTGAGTTCACAGGGTTGACATCCGGAAGCCAGAAGCATACAGGATGCCCTGCAAAGAACCTTCGAGGTAAGACAGAATGGCAGTGAGGAAGCAATGTGGCCCAGGTATCAGGAGTCCTTAAGGTGTTCTTAGAGCTCGGTGTGGCTCAGTGGTTGAGCATCCAACCATGAACCAAGAGGTCCCTGGTTTGATTCCTGGACAGGGCACATGCCCAGGTTATGGGCTCAATCCCCACAGAGGACATGCAGGAGGCAGCCAATCAATGATTCTCTCTCATCATTGATGTTTCTATCCCTCTCTTCTCCTTTCCTCGCTAAAAAATAATAATAATAATAATTAAAAAATCAATAAAAACATTTAAAAAAAGATGTTCTTAGCAGAATGACTTCACGATGGAGCATGAGCTAGTATCAAAAGGCCACCACCCTCACCCCAAACACAAAGAAATGCAAGATAAAGTCATATTAAAGTCCTATAAATATATTGCTGAGCTCAAAACAAAGAACGTAATTTTCTAGGTGCTAAAGATAAATTGGGACTGAAGCCATGAGACTCCTAGAGGTACCAGGACCAGATCTGTATCTGGCAGGCCTCTGGGGAGCCAAAGGTGGCCAGTCTGACCTCAAGCACTGTTACCTGAAGTTGTAGCCAGGGTACAAGGACTCACTGGTATTCTTGTCATCAAGGCGTCGGAAACTGTATTTTGGACGGCAGTGATGGAACCAACTATCCAGGTTGCAGTCCCAGTAGATCTCAATGCCCATGATTCCCCCCTGAGGAAGACAACAAGAAGCTATCTCTAAGTCCTGCTGGGCGTGGGGTGCAGCTACCAGACATCTCCCTGCATAGTGATGATCACTGAAGGAAAGGTCGTACATGCTTCTTCAGCCACCCCATCCTCCTCAATTCTAGGTGACCTTTTTCTCCTCTGAACATCTAAGGAATCTCTTCCTTTCTATAAACGTATTTTGAGCACTGACTATCATATTTCATTGAATCTTCACTGAATCTTAGACACTATTGCTTGTAAGACATAATTCTTTTATGTTCCTCTAAGAAGAAAATGCTGTCAATTAAAATGTGAGACTCCATCAGTTGAAATCACTTCCTGATTTCAGAACTATTAGAATGTGAAAAAATGTCTTTGAATCATGAAATATGGTGTTTCGAGACAGTATGCTAGAAGCTAGAGATACAGCGATGTGGAATTGGCAGCCTCTGACTTGGAGAAAGGAAAAATAATACAGAATAATCACAATTGTTATTTATTGCCAGGCACTAAACCAAGCACTCTACATATTATGGTGACTATCTAATGTTTTTGTCATTCATCATCCAAAGAGCCAGGAAAGGCAAGGAATTTAGCTCTGGAGGTGGAAAAGGTGAGGAAATGGATTCTCCCGCTGGAGCCTTTGGTGGGAGCCTCACCCTGCTGCTAACCTGATTTCAGCTCAGTAAAACTGACTTTGGACTTCTGATCTCCAGAAGTGTAAAAAAAAATGTGTGTTGCCCTGCCTGGGTGGCTCAGTTGGTTAGAGTGTTGCCCCAATACACCACAATTTGGGTAGACATTTCTACAAAGAAGGCACACAAGTGCTTAGTAAGGATATGTAACATGTTCAGTATCTCTAGTCACTAGGGAAATGCAAATCAAAAGCACAACGAGATACTTCACCCCACTGGCATAGCTATAATCAAAACAGACAATTAAAAAGATGGCAAGGGCACATACAAGAATCAACCAATGAATGCATAAATAAGTGGAACAGCAAATCTCTCTCTCTCTCTCTCTCTCTCTCTCTCTCTCTCTCTAATAAATAAATAAATACATAAATAAAAATTTTTAAGCGACCAAGTTGTGGTCACTTATTAAAGCAGCCTCGGGAAATTAATGTACCAAGTATCTCACGCCTGGGATTGTTGTGAAAGTACTTGGCATCATGGATGGATTTACTAAATGCTCAATAAAGGGAACCATATTATTAAGACCCAGTGGCTCAGCCCCTTGGCCATTTGACATCTTCCATTCCCCTGACACAACTTCCCCCACAAACCTCATGGTACGAAGGCACCACCAACCTTAATTGCCACTTCTGAAAAGTTATCTCCTGTTTCTTGGAAGATATCTCCTAGTCGGAAAATAGGACACTGTGGATTCTCAGTCTTGTGATAGGTGCAAGTGATGTTTAAATCTGGCAAGATGTTTCTCCTGCACATAATGAAAAGCAAACAAACACTTCCATTGAACACTTGCATAGAAATGAGCCAGTGTGGTGACTGGGCTCCATGAGGGCCCCCAGTGGTCCCCACCTCTGTGTATTTATACCCTCGTGTAGCCCCCTCCCATATAGTAGCAGGATTGGTCTGTGACCAGTAGCACATGGCAGAAGTGATGGTGTGTCACTTCCAAGGTTAGGTTATAAAAGACTGCGACTTCCATCTTGGTTACTGTCTTGCTTGCTTGCCCTCTGTCTCTCTTGGATCATTTGCTCTGGGGGAAGCCAGCAGCTGTGTCCTAAGAACGCTCAGGCAGTGCCAGGGAGAGGCCCACATGAGTGAGCTTGGATTCTCCAGCCCTAGTCAAGCCTAGTGTGACTCCAGCCTCATTGACAGCTCAGCTGCAACCTGAGAGGCCCTGAGCCAGAACCACCCAAGCAAATCTTTCCCAGATTCCTGGTCCACAGAAACTGTGTAAGATAATAGATGTTTGTTGTTTTAAGCCTCTAACTCTTCGGGTAATTTGTTACATAGCAGTAGATAACAATATGGCCAGACACTCTGGTCACTTACGTGGTGTAATTGTGGCCGGGGAAGTCGATATTATTCTTGATGAGCACAGTGAAGTTTTCAGCACTGTTCAAGAGCGCAGGCCTGAGTGAGAGACATGCACAATGGAGATCAATGACTACAGGGACAGAGGGAGGAAGCAGGCCAGTGGGACCAGTGGCTTCCGGTCCCTTGCTTGGGTCATTGCAATGAGTGAAGAGAAATGCAATCTAGTTGGCAAAACGTTCTAAAAGTCTCCAGCTTCTCCAGTAAGAATTTCTCCCTTCTTATTGGGAGAAGAGACCCCATGGCAGTTCTCACAGCCTGATATAATTGTATGTTTAGGTATGTGCCGTGGTGTGCTGATAAATCAACACGCTTTTCAGGGAAAGAAAAAAAAAAGCTCTGATGTGTAGCATTTACTGATTATTGTGGTATAAATACTCCCACCATGTCTGATTTCAGGCTACCAGTGGAACATCGTTGAACTTGGAGTTGGGAAGGGATGCGCATAATTGCCTTAGAGGCGGTACAAGCCAACTCCATCATACCCCCCTTATATCTTTCCCAAAAGGCTGGTGTTCCTGGAGGGCTGGGACCATAATTTTCTTATCTTGACTTCCCCATTCTTCAGGACAGCGCCACACACGTAGTTGATTCTGTCAGTCATTCTCCTAGAGGCCTTATGTAACATGGAATTCTGCATGAGTTAGAGGAGCCCAAATTCTAGACTGCAGGAAGGTCTACCCACCATCCTTCTATCTATTTATTCAACAAATAATTATTGGACTGAGCATGAGACTGGGTGTTGGGGATGTAGTGATGAACAAGATAGTTAAGGTTTTTGTACTTATGCAGTTAACAATCTCTGAAAGATGGAGAGAACTGGCTGTGGATTAAAAAGGTGCCGCTGGGCCCTAGCTGGTTTGGCTCAGTGGATAGAGCATCAGCCTGCAGACCAAAGGGTTCCGAGTTTGATTCCGGTCAAGGGCACCGTATCTCGGTTGCAGGCTCCTCCTCTGCCCGGGCTCTGGTCAGGATGTGTGCGGGAGGCAACCAATCAATGTGTTTCTCTCACATTGATATTTCTCTCTGTCTTTCCCTCTCTCTTCCACTCTCTCTAAAAATCAATGGAAAAATATCCTCGGGTGAGGATTAAAAAATAAAAAGTACAGCTGGTACGCTGTTACCTGGCATGCCTGAGTAGGTGGAAGATATCCTATATAATAAAAGGCTAATATGCAAATCGACCAAATGGCAGAATGGCCAGTTGCTATGATGCACACTGACCACTAGGGGGCAGATGCTCAATGTAGGAGCTGCTCCCTGGTGGTCAGTGTGCTCCCACAGGGGGAGCACCACTCAGCCAGAAGCCGGGCTCACAGCTGGTGAGCGCAGCGGTGGTGGCGGGAACCTCTCTCACCTCCACAGCAGCGCTAAGGACCCCTTGGGGGATATCTGTGTGAGCAGGCCTGAGCTGGCAGGTGGACATCCCTCAGTACCTGGACTGCGAGAGGGCACAGGCTGGGCGAAGGACACCCCCCCCCCCAAGTGCATGAATGTCATGCACCGGGCCTCTTATTGGGGGTAGTACCAGGAAAGGGTGGAGAGAATTAGAAGAGGGCACCAAGAACAATCTGCTTTTTATTCCAGGACTTGCAGAGCCCAACTTTGGCTTTATTTGGGACATAGCTATAGAGAACAGTCTAATTTTTGCCTGTTCAGCATCCATTCCCCCTCTGTCAGTAGCCCTTCATTTCTCTCCCTTTGGGGAAGCCAGGTCTCTTCCACTCTCAGCTCAGAAGGCTGGGTGGGAATGAGTCCATGTCCTGCTCATTCCTACAGCTCCTGGAGTGTGCAAGTGACCCAGAGCTGACCAAACAGTGTAATCCAATCTCCTTGGCCACAGTGATAGGTTCAGATTGTCATGTGACTTGGGCCAATGAGAACATTCCAGGGCTTTTGTAGGAACTATTGGAGGTGAGGGGGGGAGAAGTAATCTTCTTTTGGACTGTTAATAGTAAGGACAGTAAAAATCTGGAGTTCCCCCATACCACAGCGTGAAGAGAGCTAAATGGAAGAAAGAATAACTTCAGGGGAGGAAGAGAGAGAATCTTAATGACATCATTTGAAGCCTGTAACAAGCTTTACTTGAAGCCATACTTCTGAACTTCTCATTGTCAGGAGTCAAAAATACAAGCCAAAAAGCAACACTCTTTTTCTGAAGTCAGTTTAAATTGTATATCTGTCACTTGCACAAAAGAAAATCTTATTTATAACAAATGCCTGCTATGTGCTGGACCATTTGCCTTTAGAACATTCTAGATCCCATGCTTCCAGACAACACTCTAATTAGAATCAGAGGACTATAGGATCTTAAAACTTTAGGGATCAAAGCCCTTTATTCCTCTTTCATGATACTTATAGTTTTCTACCTTGAATTACAACTCTGCACATATATCTGTCTCTTTTATTAGACTGCAAGAGCCTTATCTGGGTCATTTTGTATTTTACATAAAATTTAGCACCGCCTGGCCTGGCCAGTATGGCTCTGTGGTTGAACGTCAACCTATGAACCAGGAGGTCATGGTTTGATTCCCAGATTGTGGGCTCAATCCCCAGTATGGGGTGTGCAGGAGGCAGCTGATCAATGATTCTCTCTCATCATTGATGTTTCTATCTCTCCCTCTCTCTTTCCTCTCTGAAATCAATAAAAATATATTTGGAGAAAAAAATTTGGCACAGCCTTTTGTATATAGTTACACATGAAATAAATATCTAACACCTACTGCATGGTCATAGATGTGTTGAAGGAATGAATGATTACATGAATCATTTTAGTAATTCTAGAACCCATGCTCATATGACATATGAGGAAACAAGTTCAGGAACTTGCTTGCCCAAGGTCATGTAGAATTGCAGCAGCACCTTGGAGATGCACAGTACCAGTATTTATCTGGTGAATGAGTTGGTGGCAGAGCCAGGACTGAAAACCATAGACAACCAAGAGGCCCCTTGCCTTGAACCGGGATGACCTGGGTGTAGGCTAATGTCTCTGAGCAATTCCTTCTTTGATAATGAATCTTCCTTGACCTAGAAATGAACCTGAGTGGTGCCATTAACTGATTGAGGGTAAGACAGGCTGACACTGCCTAGTGCTTCCTACTCTAATGTTGGGAACCTTTTCCTGGACCTTCTAAAAAGTTAGTTTGGGGAACTCTTTGCCCCACAGGTTCTGGTGGTGTGACCCTGAGTCACATTTGTCTAATGCTATGCAGTCCAGGATAGTCCAACATCCCCTAGGCAAGTGTGACTAGTTACATTTAAATTAAATTCAGTGGCTCAGTTGTAGTAGCCACATTTCAAGTGCTCAATAGCCACATATGGCCACCGTATCAGACAGCACAGAAAGAGAACATTTCCATCATCATGGAAAGTTCCATGGACATTGCTAGTCTAGAACCACCAAACTTCTATGGGCAGATCATGTGTGTGTGTGTGTGTGTGTGTGTGTGTGTGTGTGTGTGTGTGTGTTATTGAGCACTTACTATATGCCAGGCACTGGGCTCACTTTGCAATCACAATAAAGTATCTCATTTAATTCTCACATCAGTCCACTGAGGTAGGTGCAATTATTATCGTCAACTTACAGATGAGAAAATTAAAGTTCAGAGAGGTTAAGCAACTTGCCCAAGGTCACACAGCAAAGAAGTATTAGAGTCAGGATTTGAATCTAGGTCTCTCTATTCTCTGCTGAAATGCATCAGTCCCTGTGGTTTCTGAGATTTAAATCAAGTTCTGCCTCTGGACCTGACCTTGTGTGTTAAAGAGAAGTAACTGCCCTGCTGGTGTGGCTCAGTGGTTGAGCATCAACCCCATGCACCAAGAGGTAACCGGTTCAATTCTGGGTCAGGGCACATGCCTGGGTTGTGGGCTTGATCTCAGTAGTAGGCATGCAGGAGGCAGCCGATCGGTGTGATGTTTCTCTCTCATGGATGTTTCTATCTCTCCCTTTCCCTTCCTTTCTCTAAAAAAAAAAAAATCATTAAAAACATTTTTTTAAAGAGAAGAGTCACGCCCTAACGGGTTGGCTCAGTGGATAGAGCGTCGGCCTGCGGACTGAAAGGTTCCAGGTTCGATTCCGGTCAAGGGCATACACCTTGGTTGCGGGCACATCCCCAGTAGGAGGTGTGCAGGAGGCAGCTGATCGATGTTTCTAACTCTCTATCCCTCTCCCTTCCTCTCTGTAAAAATCAATTAAAAAAAAATTTAAAAAAAGAGATGAGTCACTACAGGGACCACCAAATCTGTCACTGTGATAATTTTTAAAAAAAATATATATATACATTTTTATTGACCTCAGAGAGGAAGGGAGAGGGAGAGAGAGAAACATCAATGATGAGAGAGAATCATTAATCAGCTGTCTCCTGCATGCCCCCTACTGGGGATCAAGCCTGCAACTGGAACGTATTCCCTGATCAGGAATTGAACCGTGACCTCCTGGTTCATAGGTCGACCCTCAACCACTGAGCCACGCCGGCCAGGCTTTCACTGTGATTATTTAAGAAAACTTCCCTTCTCTTCCTCCCTTCCATTTCTTTTCCTTCCTTGCCCCTTCCTTCCTTTTGTTCTTTCTTCCTTCCCTGTCACCTCCCCATCCTTAATCCCTGAGTATGGACACTGACAAGTCAGAATGGACCCTGCTGTAGCACTGGAGTAGGGTCTGGACATGTCCTGGAACATGCTGGCACAGAAAGGAGGCAGGGGCACCCCAGAGTGTTCAGGGAAGTAGCTATTTACCAGTCAGTACAGAATTATTTTAATATTTTAACTAGCATGGCCCTCCCAGAGACCACCGGTGTGCCTGGCATGGGGTCCCCAAGCCAGTAGGACCAGGATGTTGTGGGACTGCCCTGAGAAGAGAAGCTAGATCAGTGCCTGGCAAGGCCTCACCTACTCACTGCTGAGGGCCACACGCCAGTCCCCACCCTGCAACTTACTGGGGGGGCTCTTCCGTTGCCTCGGTGGGACACCAGGCAGAGACTTCACAGGTCTTCTTCGGAGGCTGTGGTTTATACAGTATACACTTTCCGGTCTGGATTCCTGCAGGGTCACGGGGTCACAGAAGCACACGTGTGAAAGAACCGTGGGAGGAAACTCTCCACCCGAGCAAGAGACCATGCTTTTCAGCTCAAGCAGTTTCAGTTCCATGAAACCCCGACTGAACCACAAGCTTATTAAGCTGGCCAAGCAGCATATCGAACGGTAGGCGTTTTTTTAAAAAGCATCAGAGAGGACATAGGAAGACCATGGGTGCTGTTGGCTTGTTTGGCTTCTTTGAAAGAAAGATGCCGTGAGGGGAGCTGGACAGGGTGTATTCTCTGAACTGGGAAAATGGACTAGAACTTGGCTTCTTATTGGGCATCTGAGTCCCTCGAGGAGTGTACAGCATGTGTCAGGGATGTGTACAGTTGCAGAATAAACATGGCACATCTTGCCTTGGTCAGTGTGTTCAGTGGTTAGAGCATTGGCCCCTGCACTGAAGGGTTGTGGGTTCGATTCCCAGTCAAGGGCATATACCTGGGTTGCAGGTTTAATCCCTGGCCCTGGTCCAGGTCCATTCAGAAGGCAACCGATTGATGTGTCTCTCTCATGTTGATGTTTCTTTCTTTCTCCCTCCCTTCCTTTACTCCCTTCCACTTTCTAAAAATCAATGGGAAAATATCCTCAGCTGAGGATTCAAAACAAAACAACGACAAAAAAAAAACACGGCACAGCTTCCTGGAGCATCAGGGTCAGTTAAAGATTCCCGAGGGCAAAGTTAAATAGCAAGTAATGTTAAAATGATCTCTATACCTACTCAGACACACATGTATTATGGAATAAGAATGCAACATTCATAGGCCCTTAGTGTGTGTTTTATAACCACCTATATTTTTTCTTCTCTTTTTATTCTTTTCTGTGGTAACTTTATTGTCATGTGCTCTTTATGTTAAAACAGGAAACATGGAGCCTGGCCAGTGTAGCTCAGTGGTTGAACATTGACCTGTGAACCAGGAGGTCACGGATGGATTCCTGGTCAGGGCACATGGCTCCGGTTGTGGGTTCAATACCCAGTGTGGGGCGTGCAGGAGGCAGCCAATCAATGATTTCTCTCATCATTGATGTTTCTATCTCGCTCTCCCTCTCTGAAATCAATAAAAAATATATATTCAAAACAAAACAGGAGATGGAAATTCTGCAGGTTAATTTGTGTATGGTCCCCAGGTGTCGTAAGGGTACAAGTTCAAGCTCCTCCACCTCTGTGGAAATTCAAGACAGAAAGTTTAGTATACTCAGATGATACTATAGGCCATTTGATTTTTCCGTCAGGTAGAACCCTGAAGGTGCTAATTTTGCAAGGTTTTTAGGAGCTCTCCTCCTCACTGGGGAATTAAAGTCACATTCACATCAGCAGCTGGTCCTCTGAGGACACAGCCAGACTCACCCATGGTCTGCTGAGGGTGGAAGAAGGCAGCTGAGAGCCAGAGTTAAAGATCTCCACTTTAGGACACTGCGAATGTCACCAGGATGCCAGACCATTCATCCCCATGGTCCCGAAAAGAGACAGGACGTACCTTTGCTCTGTGGGTCCAGCCATCCCTTTGTACAGCCCCGGTCAGAGGAACAGAGTGTCCTGCGGGTAGGGTGCTGCCAAGAGAAGGATAGGGTAGCGAGGAGTGAGTATCGAGTGCCCCTAAGATATGGAAAAGCAGCTGTCCTGTGCCCACACAAAAACTTGTACACAGATGGACACAGCAAGTCATAATAGCCAAAAAAAAAAAAAAATTGGAAACAACCCAAATATTCATCAACTAATGAGTGGACAGGTAAAATATAGTACATTTATACAGTGGAATATTATTCAACCACGAAAAGGAATGAAGTACTACTGGCTCATGCTACAACATTGGCAAACCTTGAAAACAGTGTGATAAGTGAAAGAAGTTAGACACAAAAGACCACAGATTGTAGGATTCATTTATGTAAAATATCCAGAATAGGCAAATCCATAGAGACAAAAAGCAGATCAGTCATTGCCAGGGGCTGGGGAAGGAGGAATGGGGAGAGACTGCTAATGGGTATGAGGTTCTTTTTAGGGTGATGAAAATGTTCTGAAATAGTGATAGTTGCACAATGTTGTGAATGTATTAAACCACTGAATTGTACACTTTAAAATGTCGGGGTTTTGCCAGGCCAGCATGGTTCAATTGTTGAGCATCAACCTATGGAAGTCATGGTTCTATTCCCAGTCAGGGCACATGCCTGGGTTATGGGCTCAATCCCCAGTGTGGGGTGTGCAGGAGGCAGCCAATCAGTGAGTCTCTCTCATCATTAATGGGTTTTTTCTCTCTCTCCCTCTCCTTTCCTCTCTGAAATCAATAAAAATATATTTAAAAAATAAAATAAAATGGTGGGTTTTATGGTATATGAATTATATCTCAACAAAAACTAAAAATAAATAAAAATCTAAAACGCGGAAGTCAGGGCAGCCTGGGGCCACTGGCAGGGACAGCCCTCAGTGTGCAGAGCCAGAGGCCTGGTCCAAGCTTGTCTCTGTGGCTGCAGAACTGAATGAAGCAAATGGCATGAAGGCTCAGCAACCGATATGGAAATAAGGGGCGCCAGCCGGCCCTGTCTCCTGGCCTGAGAAAATGAGGTCTCAGGGCTGATAGCGGAGGACAGAGGAAGGAAAAGAGAAACGTGATGACTTCGCTTCAGTATTCAACTTCCCATTTCCTCGGGAGCAGGTTCACTGGCCAGTCTTAGGGAGACCAGGATGTGACACAGCCGCTAAGAAAATAGCTGCTGCTCATTATCTCCTGTGCAGTGCGTGGCTTTTACAGAGATTCAACAGGACCTCTGCGCCATTGTCTAGCTGCAGGACTGGTCAAGTCCCTGCACCTCTCTCAGCCTCAGTTTCCTCCTCTGTAAAAGGAGGGTGAACCCATCTACCTGAAGTGGTTGCTGTGAAGATGAAATGAGCATGATTGATACAGACAAAGGGAATGTTGGCCTGGTTTCAGGGTTAGATGGACACAACAGCGAAGACTGTCATAGGAGAGAGCAGATCTCCCCCAAGCTTTCAGACACTCAGACCTTGTCACCTGCGTGGGCTGATGAGCAAGACCCACGGGCAAGGCTGGTCCTCCCTCAGGCAGGAGACCTGCTCAATAGTGTCCCAGTGCTGACCCCTCGGTGCTGGGATGGTCCCTGGTAAAGCACAGGCATTACCTGAGTGGGCAATGGCAGGAAGGTGCGAGGAATAGGTAATATCTTGTAACACATCGCTCTAGATAAACTTACCAGAATATCTAGTTATCCTCTTAAAGAACAGAGGGCAGGACTGGGAAGGGACAGAGTAGGACAAATACATTGTTTTTAGAATGCATAAGAATTTTTCTTTGGTTTTTAATAATTATAAATGTAATGCATAGAATATAGCTATGTATCAGGAAATACTTCTTTTTTTCAATTACTTTTTTTTAATCCTCACCTGAGGATATTTTTTCATTGATTTTTAGAGAGAGTGGGGAAGACAGAGAGAAATATCGATGTGAGAGAAACACAGCGATTGGTTGCCTCCTGCTCGCTCCGCGACCAGAGCCTGGGCCTGCAACCGAGGTACATGTCCTTGACCGGAATGGAACCCGGGACGCTTTGGTCTGCAGACCAACGCTCTGTCCACTAAGCTGAACTGGCTAAGGCAGGACAAATACATTTTGATAGGGAAGAAAGTTTTCCGGAAAGAGGTAGGGGAAGGTCAAGAGTCTGGAGAGGGCGAAGTCAAGTTGGGAAAGACTACATGGGTGGTGGTGGTAGGGAGACAGGTAGCATTTACCTGATGCCGAGACTGAAAGGCTAGGAAGTGGGATGATAATAAACAAGCAAAAAGAAGTGCAGTGAGAAGGCAAATGTGAGCTGTGTGACAATGTTCCCAGACAGACAGCTCGCAGTTGTTCGTAGTAGGAAAAGCCATCTAAGAGAATGCCTGCGTTCTGAACAGGGCTCTGCCTGCAGCAAGCTGTGCAACTTAACCTGTCTGATCTGCGTCTGACCTGTAAAATGGGGCTGGGAATGCTGTTACCCTCCTAAACTTGTGAGGCTCCACTGAAATGTGAAATGCTGCACAAATGCCAAAGATCAGTGTTGTCAGGAGCCATGCGGGAGGGAGCGATGGAGAAAGCAGGCCTCTAGCCTGCACAGGTGCCTAGTACCTGAACTGGAGACAGGGGACAGGCAAAGATGGGGCGGCTCCAGAGAGAGAACTGCAGTGTCTTCTGATACAGCCCAGACCCATACTCAACAAAGGAGGCTCAGTAATGTTTGCGAGCTGGAAGACATATCAGATCTCAATTCCCACATTCTCCCCGCCCTTTCTCTTGCCTGAGTCTCCTCCAGAACTCTTATCGCCAGTCTAACTGCTCTGGGTCCCTTCCTTACCTCTGGACAAAGCCCCTGCACCTGGCCCTTTGTCTTGAGAAAGTTTGTCATCACAAAGAAGGAGTTCCCCTGCGGAGAAAAAAGGAGAGACGTTCAATGCAAAGCCTTTGAGAACAAAACTATTTAATCTTAATTATCCAGCTTGCTAAGTGGCTGGGGGCGAACCCTTCCACTCTGCTAAACTTCAGTCTGGAAATCAGGGTCGGGAGCAAACTTGGGACTACACGGTGGACTTAATATCAAAACTGGATGAGCCGCCCTGCTGAGCTGAGAGAGAGCAGAGGCACATGGAAACTGATTGAGGATTCCTTTTCCATTCCAGCTTCCCAGTAAAAACCCATTAAGTTGAAACTCAGGAGACCTGGGGAGGCAGAACTGGGGGTGTTTGTTGGCTTCAGCAGAGTGCTGTTCAGATTATCTAGGACTTTAATAAAAGGGTAATAGGACACCCCACCACCTGGGAAATAGCAGGAGGATTTAATGACCCGCTGTTAGCAACAGATAACAGCTTAGTTTTTATGGTTTTACAAAGCTGTCCAGCTCCCAGAGGCCCTTTTGTTTCTCCCGCCTCCCACATATTCTCGAGTCACCTTCGACTTCTCCATTTTGACAATTCTAATTTCATTTTCTCTTCTTGCGAATTTAGGCAGCCGGATGCCCTTTCTGTGTGATCCACACCCTTTCTTTCTTTGTCCTTTATATCCTTCCTTAAACACCCAAGAGTGTTTTCCTGGAGACATTTTGTTGACAAAGTGCCACACAAACAATACAGAAGGGCTGGTCCTCTCCAGGCGGAAAGTTCTTTGTCTGTCTGAATCTAGGCAGCCCTTGCTGACTCCTTGGCCCTGCTCCTAAAAAGCGGTGTGCAACTCAAAGTGTGAGTGAATCCAGTCATGTTTTTAATGCACCAGGACACACAGCTATTTTTTTTTTTAATATATTTTATTGATTTTTTACAGAGAGGAAGGGAGAGAGATAGAGAGTTAGAAACATCGATGAGAGAGAAACATCGATCAGCTGCCTCCTGCACATCTCCCACTGGGGATGTGCCCACAACCCAGGTACATGCCCTTGACCGGAATCGAACCTGGGACCTTTCAGTCCGCAGGCCGACGCTCTATCCACCGAGCCAAACCGGTTTCGGCCACACAGCTATTTTGAGAAGCCCTGAGGACTTGATAAAGCAAAGAATCATCTCCTTTGAGCTGTTAGATCTGACCCAGTTTTGCAATTTTTAGGTTTTCTCTGTTGGTATTTTCACAGAGCTTTTTAAATAGGGCCAGTATTTTTCTGGAGTAAGGCTCTAGGTCCCAGGGCTGGGGGCAGGGGCAAGGGCACGAGGCCCTGGTGACAGTGAGCAGGGATGCGTCCTGGGAGGATGCTGACCAGTGCTCACCTGCACGGGGAAGGTGTAATCTGCCGTGTCGAAGACTCTGTGCACCTCCTTTCCATTCTCCAGAATCTCCTCTCTCACCTCCGCTATGCCTTTCACCTTGGTGTGCACAGAACTGATCAGAGTCTCTTTCCGCTGATACCGCTTGTCACACACCAGAGCAAAGCTGAGTGGCGGACACAGAAAAGCATTAGTGGTTTTCTCGAGGGAGGCCCCATGCTGTGGTTTTGGATGGAGGCTGCCTCCATTCCAATCCTAGCTTTGCTAGGGAACTTTGGGCCAGCGACTTGCCTTGTCTGCGACTCATTTTCCTCGTGTATAAGATGGGAAGAATGGTATACCTACCTCGTAAGTATTAGATCTGATCAAATAATAGAATGGCTATTCCCTTCCCTAGGAAATTGACCTTTAGATCATTTCACAATCAACATTCCTTTTTGCTTAGACCACATTCCATTTGCTAAGATCAGTAACTTTCCCCTCCAGACTTGCCCAGGACCCGGACCCATCCAAAGAATTCACTTCTGAAAAAGCCTTGAGTCCTTTAAAATCTTTGACTCCCCACCCCTGGGTGCTGGCACCATTTTGGGGCTCAGCCATCTGGTTTCCAGGTGACCTAATCTACACTAATAAAAGACAAACATGCAAATTGATCGTATTTTTGCTACACCTTAAGCCATGCCCACTAGCCAATCAGAGCGACTATATGCAAATTAACCCAACCAAAATGGTGGCCTGCAGCCACAGAGCTGGAGCAAGCAGAAGGCTTGGTTGCCCCAGTGATGGAGGAAGCCAAGCTTCCCGCCTGCTGTGGCCCGGCTCTGAGCTCCACTCAAGGCAACAAAGTTTCAATTATAGAAGATAAATAAACCCCAGATACCTGCTTTCAGCTAGCCCATGGCCTCGAAGCTGGAGCGAGCAGGAAGCTTGGGTTGCCCCTGGCGATGGAGGGAGCCAAGCTTCCCGCCCCCCTGGCCGGCTCTGAGCTCCACTCAAGGCTACAAAGTTTCAATTATAGAAGGTAAATAAATCCCAGAATAAAAAAGAAAAAAAGGAGAGGCTGGGAGCTTCCATCGCCGGGGGGCTTGGCCAGCCTGAAAATGGCCTTCAGCCCCTCACCCAGACTGGCCAGGCACTCCAGTGGGGACCCCCCACCCTAAAGGGGGTGTGGCCAGCCTGAAAACAGCCATCAGCCCCTCACTCAGGCTGGCCAAACCTCCATGGGGTGAGGGTCCCCACTGGGGAGGGGCTTGACCAGCCTGCAAACACCCATCAGCCACTTACCCTGGCTGGCCAGGCACCCCAGTGGGGACCCCCACCCTGAAGAGGGTGTGACCAGCCTGCAAACACCCATCAGCCCCTCACCCAGGCTGGCCAGGCACCCCAGCGGGACCCCCACTCTGATCTGGGACACCCTTCAGGGCAAACCAGCTGGTTCCCACCTGTGCACCAGGCCTCTACCCTATATAATAAAAGGGTAATATGCAAATTGACCCTAACAGCAGAACGGCCGTGAATGGCTGGTCACTATGACCCACACTGACCACCAGGGGGAAGATGCTCAAGGCAGGAGCTGTCCCCTGGTGGTCAGTGCGCTCCCACAGGGGGAGCTCTGCTTAGCCACAAGCCAGGCTGATGGCTGCCAGCACAGCAGTGGTGGCGGGAGCCTTTCCTGCCTCCTCAGTAGTACTAAGGATGTCTGACTGCAGCTTAGGTCTGCTCCCTGCTGGTAAGTGGACATCCCCCGAGGGCTGCCGTGCTGCCAGAGGGATGCCTGACTGCCAGCTTGGGCCTGATCTCCCAGGGACATCCTCTGAGGGGTCCCAGACTGCAAGAGGGAATAGGCCGGGCTGACGGACCCCCCACCCCCCGAGTGCACAAATTTTGTGCACTGGGCCTCTAGTAAATTCGTAATTGTTTACCCCTTTCGGCCTCATGCACTCCTCCTTCAGTGACCCTAACAGTGGGATTGTTGATGAATTATGTATTCAAATTCCACACAGTGAGCTACATGGAAACTATCGCCCCAGTGTCAACCTCTAATATTGCCTAATACAGATAGACCCTAATTTACAGGACAGCTTCTCAAATATCAGAGTTCACCTGGCATTAATTCACCAGCTTTGTTCTGGGGCTCAGAAACCCATCGGTACCTATCTAAGGGTATGTCCAGCAGGTCAGCCACCTGTTTTCTAGAAAGACACACCTGTTTTATAAATAATATTGATAATACGCGCTATCCTTTGTTGAGCACTTCAGATGTGCTGAGAGCTCTACACACATCATTTCCTTTCATCCTCACACCAATAGGAGATAGTATTGTCATCATCGTCTTCTGTAGATGAGAGAATGGGCTCAGAGAGGTGAAGGATCTTGCCCACAGATAGGCAGTGGCAGAACTGAGGTTCTTGACTGATCTACCAGGTAGTCCAGAGCCAGACCTTTTAACCACGTGCTATTCTTGTTCATGCCTTATGTAGCTCTGCCTCCAGTTTCCTGCCTTTCAGGTCAGTTCATTAGCTGTTAATACCTTATTTAGAACATGAATGTAAATTACTATGGTGGGGGAACTAAAGAGGGGAAGTGGAATTGATTATTAAAAATGGTAGATTTCATTTCCACATGTTTTCCCTGCCTCCCATTGCCCAAAATAATTAAGAGTTTATCCTAAATGCTTTCTTTATTCATTCAGCATGTGTTTATTTGATCTCTTCCTTCTGCCCAGCCCCTAATATCTGAAGGATATTGGGAAGTCTAAGCCAACAGCTGCCCCCGGGAGCTGACCTTGGAAGCCAAGACAGAGTGGGCCAAGACATGGTCCCAGCTGTTCTCAACCAGGGAGCTTTCAAAATTGTAGCTCCCAGAGCCAGCCCTGGAAACTATGGTTCTATAAATCTGGAGAGTTATTCAGGTGCCTATATACCTTTTAAAAGTCGCCCTGCTGTTGCCCTGGCTGACTTGGATAGAGCCTGCAGTGGATAGAGCATCGGTCTGTGGACTGAAGGGCCCGGGGTTTGATTCCAGCCAAGGGCACATGCCTGGGTTGCAGGCTCAATCCCCAGTAGGGGACGTGCAGGAGGCTGCCTATCAATGATTCTCTTTTATCACTCATGTTTCTATCTCTCTCTCCTTCCCCCTTCCTCTCTGAAATAAATAAATAAATATATTTTAAAAAGTTAAAAAAAAAAAGTCGCCCTGCTGATTTTAATACACAGGCAGGTTTGAAAACCCCTGGGAATTGCATAAAAAGATAACGCGTATTTGCCAATATGAAGTCCACCTGAAGACGTGCATTCCCCATGACCCAGCAGTTCCATTCGCAGGTGTATGCCCTGGAGACACCCCCATACTGGTACATGTGCATAAGGAGGACTGTACAGAATGTCTATGACAGCATTCTTTGTATGAGGGAAAACCAGAGATAACCTAAATGTCCTTGAATGTTGAATGGGTAAATAAATTGTTGGATTCACACAATGGGATGCTCTACAGCAGGGGTGGGGAATGTCGGCCAAGGGCTGTATAAGGCCCAAGAAATCATTTGGTCTGGCCCTTTCGGGGCATTAAAAGTGAGTTAATTAAATGAGCCAAATATAGCAGGCTAATTTTTAAGTTAATTTTGTATGGTCCTCGAATGATGCTATAAATATCTAAATGGTCCTGGGCAGAAAAAAAGGTTCCCCACCCCTGCTCTACAGCAGTGAGAATGATGGCGAGTCAAAGGCATGTACCTTGGTTGCAGACTCCTCCCCGGCCCAGGCCCTGATAGGGGCTCATGCAGGAGGCAATCAATCAATGCATTTCTCTCACATCAATGTTTCCCTCTGTCTTTCCCTCACTCTTCTACTCTCCCTAAAAATTAATGGAAAAATATCCTTGGGTGAGGATTTTAAAAAAAAGGTTGATTTTATGTTTTAGGAATTTCACCTCAAGGAAAACCTTGTTATAGTTATGGGCATATGTTGTAGAAACATAAAAACAACAATTCTATGGTTGTTTTGATATTTCTACAACATATATCCAAGCACCAAATTCAGGATGATGTTTAGATGGGGAGAGGAAAGAGAACGGATGCAGGCTGGGTCTGCAGGGAGCTAAGCCTGGACTAGTAATGTTCTTTTCCTAAGTGGAATGGTGGCGTATGAGTGTTTATTATATTCTTCTCAATATATTTTAGTATTTCTATAACATCCATTAAAAAAGAAAGCTCATGAAGAAAGAGTGGTGGCAAGAGATCCAGAATTGAGACCCAACCAGCATCCACAAGACGGAGTTAATCAATGTAATTCCACAGACAAATAGATAACACTGTTCAACAGTACATTGCTGCCTCCCATCACAACATGGACATGGTCTGTGCCATGTTTTTCCCCATTGGCTATTGCAACATTTTCCCAGGAAAATCCTGGGTCAGTCTGGCCCACCATTTGGGAAGCTCAGTTCTGGTCTCTCACATCCATTCCAGAATGGACAGTGTGTTCTAGAGCAGCCTTAGTGGAATCCAGGCCCCTGTACATCGGAGGACTTGTCTCTGTATAATAATGAATGTATCATTTTAAGAATTCAGATGCTTCAGAGCCACATCGCAGGGGGAAAAAGAGTTTGCAGTGCCCTGCCCGATGGGAAGAACATACTAACAACTGTCCCGGCAGCTCTCTCCCGACTCACTTGGTGAATCAGACAAGCCATGAACCTTTCAGGGACCATGGGTTTAGCTCCTGAATGAGGAGCTAACGGCCTGGCTTCCTGCTCCCTGTGACCTTTTGGCTGTGGGTAGGGACAATTCTCATCCTCCGAAGCCTGCAAACCACATATCCCTGAAGCGAAAGGGGCAGGAAGGCGCTGGGGACTTAGCTGGGTCATGTCCGATGGGTAGGTAGAGATAATGGGGGAGAAGAGAGTGGAGAGTCTGGAAGGTGGAGAGGGCTGACATGAGAGAAGCCTGGCTGAAAGGGCAGGGGAAACAGGGGGTGGAAAGGGTTGGGATGGAGAATGAGGTCAGCCCCAGAAGCCCTCAGGCTTGCACTCTGCACCTGACTTACCACAAGTAGACAAGGATCCCCGTTATAATGAGGTTCTTCAGAATCCCGATCCACAGGCTCTGAATATGAACGACTTTGGCAACTTGCACAGACTGGCATATCTGGGGGAATTGGCACCGGGCGGGCATGGAGAGAAACCTCAGAACACGGTGGGGGAAGAAGTGCCTCTCAGCCAAGCCTGGCTCTTCCTTACAGTGTCTGGGCTCACTGAGCAAAGGTTACTCTAAATTGACCTGAAAGTGAACCATTTTCCAGCTGGTTAACCCCCGCCTACCCTGGAAGCAGCTGTGGACGACGGGCTGTGTGCCTTCTGTGCCTCATGGGGATGCTGGGCCCGCAGCCTCTGCTTCTTGCGCATAAAATCCCCAGAGAAGAATCAGACTATATTCATGCCTGGTCCACTCACCTTGGCAAACAGCCAAGGGCAGCAAGAGATGCACTGAGAAGAAAGTGGTGGAGAGCCTGCACCCCCAAAGCAAGTTAAATACTGATTGTATCAATTACTCATTGCTGCTGTAGCAAATTACCACGAACCTAGTGGGTTAAAACAACACACATGTATTCCCCTACAGCTCTAGGGGTCTTGTTGCTCAATCAAGGTGACAGCAGGGCTGATTCCTTCCGGAGGCTCCATGAGAGAACCTGTTCCTCACCTCTTCCAGCTTCCAGAGGCTGCGGGTACTCCTGGGCTCCCAGCCTGCAAGTCCAGCCCTTTCTCCCATTGTCACATCTCCTTTCTCTAACGCTGACCTTCCTGTCTCTCTCTTTTAAGAAGTCTTGTGATTACACTGGAGCCACTCAGGTAACCAAGAATAACCTCCCCCATCTGCAAAGTTCCTTTTATCATATAAAGGACCACATCCATGTTCCTGATCTTCAGGGGGAAGATCAGGAACAGATTCAGTCTAACCACCGAGGCTGTTTATTCTCATGAGCACTATGCTTCTTTGCCCCTCCACCCTCCTTCCTCATGTTGCCAGGCACATACTTGCACAAGAGTCTTTTCTCACCTAAGACACATTTCACACACGTTAAGATAAATTTGCAGATGTTATCATTTTATATCTCAAACCACAACAGGCTGGGTTACTGCATGCTTCCGCTAGCAAAGTGAAAGTGCCTGCACCACCTTTGAAGAGGACTTGACAAACAAGAGTGTGGGTGTGTGGGCTTGGCTGAGACAGTAAAGGTCTGAGCCCCATGTTGGGGCACACAGGGCTGGAGGGGTTGGTCTGCTATTTTGAAGAAGAGGAGAAATACAATAACAGGATGCAGCCATTTGAAGAGTTTTCAAGTAGAAGGGCCACAGGGCAGAGCTCTAACCAAAGGAGGGAAATTACAGGGAGATGGATTTGGGCTCAGAGTGAAGAAGAAATGTCTAACAATTAGAACAGCCCCAGAACACAGCAAGCTTTCCTTAGGGTCGCTAGTTGGTGTGGCTGATGACCATGACAATTTTCACTTATTTCATCATCTCCCTCTCTCCCATCTCCTCACCATCTACATTTCAACGTCATCGCCCATCTTGAAAATGAATCCTCCCTCGACCCCATATTCTTCTCCTACCACCACTTGATGCCTCTCCTTTGTAGCCAAGTCCCTTGAAAGAATGAGTCACCCCATCCATTTCCGCGTTTCCATCCATTTCTCCACCCACTCCAGTCTGGCGCCCGCCCCCACCACTCCTCCAAAGCCTCCCTTGCCAAGTAAACAACTTCATCTTCACTGAGTCCGATAGATGCACCACAGACCTGTTCTTTTTGGGATTCTCAGCAGCATTTGACACCAATGATCACGCACTAGCTCCTTCCCCTTCTCCCCTCAGCTTCCTGGAATCCACATCCTCCTGACTTTCTTTGTATCTCTATGACCACCCTGCTGAGATCCTACCAGGACGCCTGTGCTCCCAACGGTTAGCATTCCTACATTCCTATCCTCAGGAATCTGTTCTAAGCCTTCTTGCCTTCTCATCTACATTTTCTCTTGCTGGTCAGTTGCAGCTACTTCCATGGTTCTGGTTACCCCATATAGAAATCTGTATCTTTAGCTTCAGATTCATATATCTAACTACTCACTGAGCCTCTACATTGGTGTGTCCCACAGACACATCAAACCTTCAGTTCTGAACTCATCTTCCACCCCCAAAAGGGCTTTTTCTCACATATTCCCTACCCCAATAAATTCTTCCACCACCCATTAGTTGCTCAAGCCTGAAACATAGCACACTCCTTAACTTATCCTTTCCCTCACTCCCCCTCATACGTTCTATTGTTTTATTTTCCTAATGTTATTCAAATCCGTCTACATCTCTACCACTGGCACTTCCTTAGGCCAGGTCACCATCAACTCTCACCTGGATTATCCTGTAGTCTCCTAAATGATCTCTCTCCCTACATTTGTATTCCTATCTCCTCCATGCCCAACCTCCCTCCACCTGTATACACCTGCCCATGCCCATGGATGCTATAATCTTCTCTCAAGAGAATAAATCTGGGAAAAGGTTCAGGGCCATTTGGGAAGAGAATTCTGCAGTCCTGCATCCCCAGGGTGTGGTGGGATGGGAGAATGCAGCTCTGAATGGTCACATTCTGGCCCTGTGGCAGGCAGACCTCTAAGATGACCCCAATGTTTCCTGTATCCTGGTATATGAACCCTGCCTAACTCCCTGAGCTTTGAGTATGATGGATATGCTTCCATGTTTAGGTTCTATTACACAGCTGACCTTAAGATAGGAAGAACACCTGGGTAGGCTAGACTCAATCCCATGAGCCCTTTAAAAGCAGAATGTTTTCTTTGGCTGGTCTCAGAAGAGAAGTCAGAGACTTGAAGCATGAGAACAATTTATTGTGTCATCACTGGCTTGAAGCTGGAAAAGGCCACATTCACAAAGAATGAAGGTGACCTCCAGGATCTTAAGAGTGGCCCCTGGCTGACAGCCAGCGAGGAAACAGAGCTCTCAGTCCTGTAACTGTAAGGAATTGGAATTTTACCAACAAGAATGAGCTTAGAAGTAAAAAGCTCCCCCAGAGCCCCAAAGTGAGAACTCGACCCAGCTCACAGTTTGATTTCAACCTTGTGAGTCTCTGAGCAGAGAACCCAGTCATTGCCCAAACCACTAACCTACAGGACTGTGAGCTGCTACGTGGATGGTGTTTTAGGCCACTGAGTTTGGAGGAATTCCTTAAGCAGCAGCAGGAAACTGGCTTCTTACTTCATGGGGAAGCTTGCAGCCAGCAGAGTGCCACAGCGGGATTTCTAAAGCATGGGCTTCAGGAACGTGGTCCCCATTGGTTAGGTCAAGACTGGTACTGTCCCCATAAATTCCTAAAGATGAATTCTGCTCGAGCCCACCACATGATGTTATTCCCTGCGTACTAAAGTGTTGCATAGTTCTTATATTTGAAAAGTTTTGGACTTGGGTCTCATGCCTATCTCCTAGCTGCAAGAGAGGCTGGGAAATTAAGCTGTGACATATAATCAAGAAGTGGAGTCCATAACATGGGAATCCCCCCATAACTGCACTGTTCAAATCATAATTATCCATTGAGACTTTGTAATGGATGTTTGTTTTTTTACTGTCTCTCCCCACTCTGCCCCTACCCACCACTTTCTTTTCCCATTTCTTCCGGCAACAGAGTTCTTTTTTCCTAAGGAAAAGCCATTGACTGTGGTTAGGTCCGGCTCATTCAGCTCTGTTACCCTCTCTCTACTTCCTGCCACAAGAGTGAGCACATGACCCAGGGTTGGCCAATGATTGGTTTAGGGATGAATATGTAACTCAAGCTCAACCAATCAGTCTTTCCTGGGACTTTCTTGGCAGAGCTATCAAGAAACCCTGTTTGTTCCTCTGGTTGCTATAAGGGGAGTATGTGAGGTGTGCCACCTTCCTACATAGATAGCCTATTCAAGAAGAAAACGAAATACCCAGTAGATCCAAGATGTGGAGAGAGAACCAGCCCTGATAACACAGTTTGAACTTTTATGACCATCCATGTCAGAGGACAGTTCCATCTCTTCCACTGCCCAGTTACTTGACAGTAAATCCCCCTGTGTGGCTTGCTGGATAACTTGAGGTAGGTTTCTGTCAGACATCCAAACAATATGATTAGCACAGACCTACTCAGCATCCTGTCCACATACTGCTGCAACCCTGGGAGCTGGAGCCACGTGACCCTGCCTGAAGCTGCAGGCCCTGCCTTTGACTCCAGACTTGAACTTGGTTGTGAGGGACTATGAGAAGCTGTTCAGCCTCTTGTCTTTTTTTTTTTTTTTTTTTTTAAATTGATTTCAGAGAGAAAGGGAGAGGGAGAGATAGAAACATCAATGATGAGAGAGAATCATCGGTCGGCTGCCTCCCTTTGGGGATGGAGCCTGCAACCCAGGCATGTGCCCTGACCGGCAATCTAATTGTGATCTAGTTCATAGGTTAATGCTCAACCACTGAGCTATGCCAGCCAGACTCAGCCTCTAGTCTTATTTCCAGTATTGCTAGCCCCTGTCTTGTACCCCAGTTTCAATAACTGATGCATTGTCTTACTTTGTTATCCTGGCCCTTTGCCTTTTCGGCCCTAGTATGTACAACCACTGAACCCAGAACCCTATAGCCAGAACTCACCACCTGCTGCTGCATATCCCAAATTTTACCTGAGTCTGTCTGGACTTCCATCAGTGGTCCACACCAGTCCTATTTGATGCATACAACATCCCTCAACCCCGGGGCACCATGAGTCTACCCATTTCACAGATGGCCAACTTGCAGTTACATCAACTTGCAGCCTTAGAATACAATTGAAGGCAGCATTGTCCATGCTGTGTTCTATGGGACACCATTCAGAGAGATGTAAGTCTTCCATTAACACAGAGGGGAAAAGCAAAGCTGGCAGCATTTTTTCCTTCAATTTCATATTTTAAAATATAAACAATAGGGAAGCATTTCACGTGGGGTTATCTTCCAAAGTGGGGACTTAAGGTAAAAATTGTGTCTCATTAAAATTGCCTTTGCTAGGCCCTTGCATTGTGCACAATGCATAGCCACAGGCTTTCCTCCTGCCCTGGAACAAGTTGTTGTTTTTCCAGTTTTGCGGGAAGGGAAAGGAAGGCAAATGTGAAGGAGTTGGCTTATTTCAAGGGGCATGTTGAGTGGAAAAGGTGTATTTAGATCCACAGGTAGGACAGCAAAATGCTCACTCCGTGAGAAGCACATGGAAGCAGAGACTGACCGAGGGAACCCCAACTCAAGTATCCATCTCCCCCTTACTCCAGGCACCAGTCACCGAATCATTGCCCTGTTTTAATTGTGCCCTCTCTCCATGCTCTGGTGGAACGTGTGTAACTGAAATTAGGGGAATTAAATGCATGTAAAATAAGAGTCCACCATATGGAAGAAAAATAGTTATCATTGTAAGGTGTTCTCATAATAATCTTTCTCATATGTACAATGATCTGTTTTTAAGAAACTGCGTGCTGGACCCAAGCATACCAGAAAGTTACATTATCTGTTACATGGAATGATCTGAAATATGATCTTTGTAGACTTTACTATGTTTTTTATCATCAGTCCTATGATATCGTGTCTAAGTAATGTCTTATTTTAGAATTCTAGCGTATGAGTTTATTATTCAATGTTGCATAGTAAACACATGAATTAAATAATGATGATCCTAATAGTTACGATTAATAAGAATTCACACTTAGTAAGGGCTTCCCTTATGCCAGGTATTTTTCTAGCAGCTCTGCATTTATTAACTCATTTAATTCTCACAACAACCATCATCCCCATTTTACAGAAAAGGAAACGCAAAGAGCTAAAGGATTTTTGAATCCACCTTTTCAGACCTCAAACCCCAAGTGAGGGCATGGTTACTTTGATAGTCAGAGGAGAGGGTGTACTGCATTATGAAGGTACCCATTAGATTAAAAAAGATTCTTTTGAAAAAGAGCTGACATTTGAGGAGCTCCTACCCTATGCCAGGCATTGAGAAGGGCTTGCATGCCTTTTCTATTTAATTATCACAACCACTCTGTGAACAGAGGCAGAATCTGAGGCTTGGAGAGGTTGAGTGACTCTAACCCTTAGGTGGTAAATAACACTGTCTCCCTGTACAGATGTGAGTTGTTATCATCATCATCATCATCATCTTCTTCTTCTTCATCATCACAAAGAGCAAGGGGACATTACCCATTAGGAAAATGTGAACCAAAACCACAAAGAGATACCACTTTACATCCCACTAGGATGCCCGCAATCCAAAAAGACAGATAATAGCAAGTGTCAGGTGAGGATGTGGAGAAATTGGGACAAATATTGATGGTGGGCATGTGAAACGGTGCAGCTGCTGTGAACAACGGTTGGTTCCGCAAAAGATTGAAAGAGTTACCAAGTGATCCACCAATTTCATTCATAGTTACATATCCAAGAAAACTGTTCATGCAAACATATGTTCTTGCAAAAATCTGTACACAAATGTTCATAACATCATGATTTTAAAAAAATATGTTTTTATTGATTTTAGAGAGAGAGGAAGGGAGAGGGATAGAGAGAAAGAAACGTCGATGAGAAACATCATCAATTGGCTGCCT